AGGCCTCCGTGTCCCCATTTGGGGATCTGAGGAGTTTACAGGCAGGTTGTCATGAGGGTTTAGGGGGTGGGGTGGGGTTCTGAGGTGTGGCCCCAGGAGAGAGCACAAAGTAGTGCAGTCCTTACTCAGAATTGGTAGTTGGCTCCCCTAACACATCACATGCACGGTTTGGGGCATCTTGGGAGGCAGGGAGCTCTCCTGAGTCTGGTTGGACTTGCAATGTCAGCATGTAAGACCTGGGGGCACATGCCAGGCCCCCAAGTCAGCCATGGAGTCAAACAGCAAGGCGCTCTGGGGCTCAGATGGAGAGGCAGGACCACAGCTGCCTAGCTAGAGCTTGAGTTCCAGGGATGGGGAGGTGGGGGTGGCTTTCAGAGATGGGGTGGGCCCTGAGAGAGCTGAAGCTGCCTCCCTTCGTGGCTGGACCCAGGAAGCCAGGTCAGAGCAGGAGTTCTGCTTCTGCCCTGTAGGGGAAAGGGTCAGGGGTTCATTTTGACATCTCTGGACCTTTTTGGGGAGGAAACAAGGAACCTCCAAAAAGATAGAAACATGGGACCACATGGGGCCTCTGCTTCCTAGGATCCCCAATGGAGGCACCTGAACGGCACTCTCCCCTCTGCCCAAGAGCCAGGACACCAATGCAGGTTTGAGGGAGCAAGGGCCAGGTCAGGACTCATGGGCCAGGTACAACAAGGGCCTCATAGGCCACAGTATAGGATCAAGGACCAGGATCAAGATGGCTGGAACCTGGGTCTGGCCGAGGTAACCTGTTGCCTCTCCCCACCCCTATGAAGACCAGGCACTCTAGTGGCCTCAGAGCCCCACCCTGGGAGAGGACCTGCCCTGGCTCAGGTGAGCTGATCTTTGTTTCTGATAATACAGGTCCTGTAGAGAGATGTCTCTTCCTGCTTGCTAAAGGTCCTATCAACTCACAGCGTTCTCACGTCCTGGGAGGTCAGATCCAAGGGCCACCCCAGCCAGGATCTCCTGGTCCCCAACCCCCCTATTCCCCAGGAGCTGAGCCCTGGCTGCTCTGGGCACTTTCTAGGGAGGGGAGGGCAGCTCCAGGACAGCTCCACCTGAGAGGAGGTGCAGCCTGGCCTCCCAGTGTGTCCACCTCAAGTGCAGCATCAGCTGCTTCACCCCTCAGAGCATCAGGACAGTGGGTGACCACTGGTCAGCCTCTGGTGCTGGACACCTGGTTCTGAGGACAAGTGGTATGGATCGAGAGCCACAGCAGCAGGTACCCTGCAGCAGGGTGGTGTGGGCTGGTGGGCAAGCTCTGTACAGCCCTTTCTTTCCCCACCTGGGACAGGGACATGGAGGATCACTATGGGGGAGGAGGAGCTCAGAGCAGAGAATTGACTGAGAGAGGCAGAGACAGACAGAAGGGCCCAGCTGCCCAGGACAGCTCTAACCTGCCACACACAGGTGTTCGGAGCTCACTTCTCTTCCTGGTCCTGGTTCTGCCTGTTGCTAAAAGACCTGGGCTGATTTGAGTCTCTGCTTCCAGCTCAGGCTCAATTCACTAGGGACTTGGAGCACCCAGGGGGCTTGGCCCCCTGCCCTCAGCAGTGTGGGGCACCACATCTGTGTGTGCGTGTGCAGGGTGCATATAGGTAGAACATGTGGTATGCATGTGTGCACATGCATGTGTGTTTGAGGGTGTTCTGATAGAAGCCCAAGTCCTGCTGATATGCCTGGCCACCTAAGCAGGTGTCCAGCCCCTGTCAACCCTGCCCCCCCCACACCAGACAGCTTGACACCAGCACAGGGACTCAGAGTGACTGGCATATATAGGCTCCCTCCAGATCTCACACCTGTGGAACCAGGAACTGGCTCCCTCAGCCCACAGGGTCCCAGAATCACCAAGTCCCTCCGTCCACAGGACATGCCAGGCTGGCCCCTCCTGCTGCTCTTCCTGGGATCTGGTGAGTTCTCCGAAGCCGACTCCACATATGGCATTCCAGGTCGGGATAACAGGCCCATCTCGCGTCCTCCTGGGCTCAAGTCCTGATTGGCTGGGGAAGGACCATTCCTGGGAGGGTCAGGTCCCAGATATGGCCTGCGTCCCCCACACTTCAGGAGGCAGTGGCTCTCATGTCCTCCTCTGTTCTGCCCCTCTCTGTGAGGTGACTCAGAGCCCCGTCTCAGGCCCCATGGGGCTGCAATGCTGACCTGCCCCCTCCCCAGCCTCCTCTCCCCTCCTCCTCCACTCACCCTGGAGGGCAGCCAGGGAGGGGAAGGGCCCACTCACCCAGGTTGTCTTTCTCCGCAGCCCTGTCCCAGGAATGCACCAAGTACAAGGTCAGCACCTGCCGGGACTGTGTCCAGTCAGGGCCCGGCTGTGCCTGGTGCCAGAAGCTGGTAAGAGCTGGGTGGACGCTATGGTTGCCTGAGGTTCCTCAGATCTGAGCTGCCCTTCCCATCTTCCTGGGCTGGGTCCTCCCCCTGCCTGTGATGCCAGGGACACAGGAGGGTCACCAGCTCCATTTCCTCATGGGAGCAGGAGAAGCACAAGAGACCACAAGACCATCTGAGAGAGACAGGGACACACAGACAGACGCAGGCTGCCCCTAAGCCAGCCCCATCCCCAGAGGCAGGAGTAGCTCAGAAAAGAATCTTCCGGAAGGAGGTATGGCGCTGTGAGTAGCACCATACACTAGGGAAGCCATGAGTCTTCAGAAGATGGTGTTCACCTACAAAACCACATGACGTATTTTGATGAACAGGTACATATTCATGTTTGATAAATGCACTTGTCAAACTCAGGAAATTTAACGCTGATATCTATATGATCAAAGCTAGAGACCTTATGCAAATTCTACCAGTCATGTGCTCAGTGTCGTTTTTCTTCCTGGTGATTCCATAACCCAAGACCACTCATGTTCAGATGCCAGGGCTCTTTCGTCTCCTGAATCAGGGACAGTCCCCAGCTCTGGGCATTTCTGGATGTTGGCAGCCTCAGAGTAGGATGTCTCTCAGCCAGTCCTGTCCTGTATCTCCCCTGATTCCATTCCAGCGTGCTCCGGTGACCACACGGTGACTGTGTCCTCCTGTGTCCCTTAGGAGGCACATGTGGTCACTGGTCACTCTGTCCTAGGGCTGATGACATCAGTCTGGACCACAGCTAAGGTGGCATCTCTCAGACTTTTCTAAGCAACATCCCTGTCCCCCCCACACTTGCAGTTAGGGACTAAGCTAATCAGTGGGAGATGCTCTGAGGCTGCTGTCCTGTTCCCACCAAGCTTCACCTGCTAACTTGGTCTCCTAGGCAACTCAGCCTGGACGCATCCCACCGCAAAGTGGGCAGGTTCTAGTTCCTTCCCTCCCTCTAATGTGAGGAAGAGTCTCTCTACTCCTCTCTCTCTTTTCTCCTTCTTCTTCTCTCTCTGCCCCCTTCTCCTTCCCCCCCCGCTCTCTCTCCAGTGTGGATCCATACATTTTCATTTTGTTCTCTACGATGACCTTCAGTCGATATCTTCGTATCTTCGGTAATCCCAGCTCTGGGCCCCTCTAAGCCAGTTCCCTGTGCCATCCGAATGCCTTCATCGTTTCGTTTTGTTTTTTGTTTATTTTTAGCACTTTCTTACTTTCTGGAATATGAGCTGCCCAGACCCATCTGCAGTACCCTGCCCTGGCCCCAGAACCCGGCATTTTCCAGAGGCTCCCGGCTCCTTCTGAGGAGCCAGCCCCTGGCCTCTCGCCTCATTTTCTCAATCCCACAATGCACAGCGAGGCTGCAGTGGCACCATGGCACCATTATGGCAACCAACAGAGCCACAGAGGAGAAGCCAGTGTGGTTTCTGACTCTTGCCTTTGAAGGAGGACTGTGGCCAGGCTCTGGGTGTAATTGAATGTCCTTCTGTCCTTGGAGAGGTCGGCTTTCCCTCCCTTTCACGAAGTCATTCTGTTCATTTGAAGTAAATCCAGCTGTTCCAGCCTGGATGGCATTTTAGATTTCCTTCTCCCTCCATTGTTACTGACAGCTTGCTTGTACTTCTTGTGTACTTAACGCATCAATACTGTTCTGAAAGTCGAAACAATGGAAGTACACTCAGGGGGCATCTCACACACACACACACACACCCCCCGCTGGGGCTCACCCACCTCGTGCGTTTCTGGGCTATTCTACCTGGTTCTTTTGTGTCCCCGGTCCTTCTCAGCACTTCACGTTTTTAGCCCCACCTGCCTCGAGAGCAGTGGTTCCGACTGTGTCAGAACCCACTCACTATGGCCTGCATCAGAATCCAGCTGGCATCTGAGGGGACAAAGCAGTCAAGATGAAAGTGCCCTGGGCCCAGGACTCCTCTCCCCCTTCCCCCACTGGCCCCTGCAAACTTCTGTTTCCTCCTGAAGTGCTGGAGGCTTCTCTCTGAGTGCTGGTCTATGTCCCAGGGTTCCTGGGGTGCCCAAGCTGGCTGAGAGAGTGCTGGGTTCTCCTGGGAGAATAGAGCGCCCAGGGACACAGGTCCTGTCAAGGAAGGGCTTAACGGCCCCAGCCTGCACTGGGTGAAGAGGCTGCTGACCCTTATGGATCAGCCTTTGGGCTGAGGATGCCGGGCCCTAAGTCCTTGCTGATAGACCCAGAGGCAGAGGCATGGAGAAGGGCCTGCTCCTCGTGACTCAGGTGTGACCTGGGAGCCCTTGGGGAGGCCATCTGGGAGGCTGGCAGCGCTTCCCCAGCTGGCCATCCCACCCCCACAGGGGTTTCTTTCTCAAATTCTGAGTGCAGATGAGAAGGGACAGGGCTTGTCCTACTGGTCCTGCACAGTGGCCTCCTCCTGATTCCCAGGCCCCTTCCCCAGAACTTCACAGGACAAGGGGAGCCTGACTCCATTCGCTGTGACACCCGTGCGCAGCTGCTGAAGAAGGGCTGTGAGGCTGATGACATAGTGGATCCCAGGAGCGTGGCTGAGCCCCAGGGCAATGGACAGGGGGCCCAGAAGCAGCTGTTCCCACAAAAAATGACACTTTACCTGCGACCAGGTAGGCTCGGCCTTGGCTGGGGGTAAGCCAGACACCATGTGTCGCTAAATTCAATCTGTTCTGGGGGTCAGGGCTGGCCAGACAGGGGAGGGGTGTCCAAGTTGAGTAGCAACGTGAGCCAGGTGTGGCCCAAGGGCTGCAGGGAACCTTATGAGTAAGTCTGAGCTCTGCCAAGGCCCTTCTTCTCTCAGCCATTAGCCCCCCTCCCAGGCAGATTGTCCCCAAGCCTCTGGTCTGCATCCGGTCACCTGGCTTCTCTTTTAGTCTTGTGTTCTACCTTGCTTAGCCCTGTGGAAAACACTATTCTATTTGACTCTTAAAAGGCTGAGGTACTCTTGGTAGGGTAAGGGCTCTGATAAGTCCTGCAGCCAAGAAACTGAGTAACTGTTTAAATCAGCAGGCACAACAGACTTGGCACGACCACAGCAGCTACTTCACAACACAGCCCCATTGCTTCTCTGAGGCTGGGCCTGGGGAGCAGGTGTGGCAGAAGGAACTCTGGTGGGCACACAAGGTCTAGAGGGGCAGACTCCACTCTGACTATGTAGTCACTACATTTGTGGGAACTCCCAGGCCACTTGAGGCTTGTGAGGGGACTAGGAGATGTTCCTGAATGTTGCCATATAGGAAGCCCAGGGGTAGCTTCCCAGGGAGGAGCACAGAGGGGTTGAGTGTGACTTTGGAGACACCAGCTGTTGTCTGAGGAGCTGGTACTCAGAGGCACTGCCCCTTGGGGAGCCCAGGTTAGAGGTCACCCTGGCTTTGGGTAAAGTGGACCAGGTGAGGACATTCAGAGGGGAGCCAGCAGTTAACAGAGGGTGGCAGTGAGAAGAGGCCATGGTGGGGTAGGGCCAGGAGCAATCTGTGTGCAGGGCCCAATGTGTCCCTGGGGGAAATAGGAGCAGAGACTGGCCCTTGCTGTCCCGTGAGCCAAGCACCTCTGCCCTGGGACCTCCGCCTCTCACCTCAAACTCTAGGGCTTGGCCTTGTTGACCCCTAGAGGACAGACAGCCTCAACCAGTTGTCTTGGGCCACATGTCACAGCAAGGAAACCAAGGCTGGCACAGGTGCAACCTTAACTGGTGGGGAAGGGAGGTGGCTGTCTGTACTTCTTTTGTAAGGCCCTAATCTCTTTGATGGGGACCCCCCATCAAAGAGAGGCCTCTGGTCACCTCCCAGAGGCCCCACCTCCCAAGCCATCACCTTGATCCCGTGTGGATTTTGGGGAATGCAGACACTCGGTCCACAACAAATGGACGTTCTTGTACTTGGAGTGTACATCTTTACCTGAATTCGAATCTACCTGGCCATCCCGTGTGACCAGCCCCCACCAGGCCATGATGAAAGGAGGAGCCAATAAGAATGTGAGGGCTGGCAGTGTGCAGCCAGCTTGGTGCTGTGTGCACCCGGGATGTCCAGGATGAGACTTGAGGAGTTGCTCACCCTCTGCCCTGCTGGCAGGTCAGGCAGCTGCATTCAACGTGACCTTCCGGAGGGCCAAGGGCTACCCCATCGACCTGTACTACCTGATGGACCTCTCCTACTCCATGCTGGACGATCTCATCAACGTCAAGAAGCTGGGTGGAGATCTGCTGCGTGCCCTCAATGAGATCACGGAGTCCGGCCGCATCGGTGAGACCCTCGGCCAAGGCTGGCTGGCTCAGCTATTCCCCCCAGTCTTGGGCAGACCTCGCCACCCCCACACCTCTATGCATGCATGCAGGTCCCCAGGAGTAGGGAACTGGAGGGCTCCATGGAGCCAGAGTTGGGCCTGGGGCTCCACCAGGGGCCGTGCCTCATTGCCGCCTCCCTGAAGACTGGTGACATCACCCCTCCCCCACCCTTCCTCCTCTTTTTTTGATATGTTTGAAAGACAAAAGTGGGGCTGGTAGATGCCTCAGGTGGTAGACTACCTGCCTAGCAACTGTGAGGCCCTGGGTTCAAATCCCAGTACTGCCAAAAAAAGGACAAAAATCTTACAGTGCTTATTATTATTATTAACTATTATTATGGCAGTATTAGGGTTTGAACTCAGAACCTCACACTTGCTACACTGGTGCTCTACCACCTGAGCCACTCCACCAGCCCTTATTTGTGACGGGTTTTTTCAAGATAGGGTCTCGCAAACTGCTGGTGCCAGCTTCAAACTGCGATCCTCCTGATCTCTGCCTCCTTCCGGAGGGTCAAGTGCTTGTTATTTCTTTAGACAGGGTCTCATGTTTTTGCCCAGGGCCAGTTCAAGACAGTGATCCCTCCCACCTATGCCTCCTTAGCTGGGATCAGAGGTGTGCACTGCCCCTCCCAGCTGAGGTTGTTGAGATGGGAGTCTTGCTAACTTTTCGCCGGGGCTGGCTTCGAACTTTAATCCACTAGATTGTAAAGCTCCTGAATAGCTGGCTGGCAGTGGTAATTATTAAAAAGTCTGTAGACTACACAGTAATCATAGCGTTGAGGAAGTAACCTCAGCAAACCCTGCAGGCTGAGAGTCTCAGCGTTGACCAGCAGTGAACAAATCCCCAGCGCACAAGCCTCGGATATGCTGGCGTGTGAGGAACACAGGAACAAGGCACCCCCACCTGCTACCCCCGACAGTGTTGTGCACACGTGTACACACACACTCACATGCCCCTGCACATGCCTGGGTACACGTGTGTGCGAGCATATGCATGGTCAGGCTCCCATTTGCACGTTTACACACACATCCTCGTGCTCACACGCACACAAGCACGTGTTGCAGGCGCCATCTTGTCCTCTCCCTTGTCCCGTGGAAGATCAAGGCTGGCCGTGTGTCTGGGGCCCACCTGCCTCCTCGTGCCCCCTCACCTCCCAGCCTCATCTATGTGCCCTCAGGCTTCGGATCCTTCGTGGACAAGACGGTGCTGCCCTTCGTCAACACGCACCCCGAGAAGCTGAGGAACCCGTGCCCCAACAAGGAGAAGGAGTGCCAGGCCCCGTTCGCCTTCCAGCATGTGCTGAAGCTGACTGACAACTCCGATCTGTTTCAGAGGGAGGTGGGGAAGCAGCTGATTTCTGGGAACCTGGACGCTCCTGAGGGTGGACTGGATGCCATGATGCAAGTCGCTGCTTGCCCGGTAAGGGCACTGCTCCTGCTTAGGTGTCCCATTGTCCCTTCACTTGGAAGCCCCATCAGGTGCTGTAGGCTACCTGCACTGGGACCACCTGCCCCGCCAGCTCCACCCATCAGCCTGATCCCCACAGCCTTCAGGCTGCAGAGCAAGGGAGAAGAGCAACAAGCCCCTGAAAAGTCGCCCACAGGTTTGGCTAACAGGCTAACTGGTGACCCCTGTGACTCCTTCGAAGCCTAACATTATACAAGTGACCATGTGAGCCAGGCTGCTGAACAGCTGAACCTGAGGTTCCAGCAGTGACGGCCCCTCCTCCCTTCCAGGCCAGGAGGGTGACTGCTGTGCCACACTGTCTCCTCACTCATATCCCTGCCTGCGTCCGTCCTGGGCTGTCTTTGTAACATAGTTGTTCCAACAAGGCTGACCCTTGTCTTCACCGTGTACTTTCTCACCCTCCTGGCTCTGGCTCTCATCTCTGCAGCTTCCTGGAGCCCTGGGCGTTCTGTGTTCACACCACGGACACACACCTTCCATGTGTGCAAGACACACATGCTGCTCTCAGGCTTCCAGGGACGGTCCAGGGCAACTGAGCTCCCCCCGGCAGGACACTCTTCTGGCCCCTTCTCTCACATGGGCTGTTCTGCACATGATGGACATTGCTGCAGTATTTTCTTTCTCTTCGGGATTATTTCCTTGGGAATCTATTCCTAGGTCTGAAACAGTGGGCTGTAAAGGATTCAACTCTTTAGATCCAGACACTTGTTTCAGTTCCTCTCACTTCGTGCACCTGCAGGGCATGCTGGGAGTTGTCAGTTCAGACACTTCTCAGGCTGCTCCTGGGCCCTGACTGGGTCCTGTGTCCTCTCTCTCTGCATCTGTCTCTGTCTCTCTTTTCCTCTCTCTCAGTCCTCCCCACCTCCACTGTGAAAACCCAAGAAGGGAGGGTGCAGCAGTGCCAACCACTGGCTGACCCACCTGGCTCTTGAAAGGCCCAACTGGGAAACTGGGGCAAGTAACCCCCCGCCCCATCACCTTCTTCCCAGGAGGAGATTGGCTGGCGTAATGTCACACGGCTGCTGGTGTTTGCCACGGACGATGGTTTTCACTTCGCCGGCGATGGGAAGCTGGGTGCCATCCTGACCCCCAATGATGGCCGCTGCCACCTGGAGGATAACATGTACAAGAGCAGCAATGAATTTGTGAGAGTCCTCCCACCTATGTGTCCTTTGGGGCCTGCCCAGCGGGGTGTGGGGTCAGAGACCCACTAAGGGAGGAAGCACCTGTGGCCCCTAATGGCCCTGCCAGGGGAGGGAAGGAAAACAGACTCACATCCACAGGGTCATGTGCAGGTCACCTCACCAGAGTCTGGACACCTCCTTCCAACCTAAGTAACAAATCCCGAAGGACCCTCCAGAGGGCCTGAGGGGCGCTGTGAGGTGCCTGGAGACTCAACCTCAGGTCAGGGAGGGCAGTGGGTGGCCAAGGCAGCCCTGACCCTCGTCCTTACAGCAGGGGCCCTGACCTTACGGCCACCCCCTAACTCTGGGCCTATAACGTCAAGTGCAGGAACTGCCTACCCCCATCCCAGGCTGTGGCCAGGGCCCCCCACCTTCCCCAGATGAGGCTTATCATGGCTTAGGTTCCCGTCCCTGGACACCCCCTCATACTTGCAAAGGTGCTGCGGAGGATTTCAGTTTGTACACCTCAGGGGTCCTCCACCTGGAGCCCACAGACTGGGTGGGGGGTGTTGGTGGAGAGAATCCAAGGACCCCAACCATGGACAGAAAATGGCATCTTCTGCCCAAGAGGAACTGCCTGAAATGAAGTATCCTCCAGTCATGCAAGCAGGTGACACTGTGTGAGGACGGTGGCTGAGAGTTGGCCCTCAGTAAAAACTGGAAGTATTTCCCGCGTGCCACAGCAAGACCCCCTCAAAGTTCACACCCTGGTGTCTTTGAATTCCGGGAGTGGTGGCTTGCACTGGATGTCTTTATCAGTTGACCAAGGGGCACAGCGCGATTTTCAATATAACTGCTTTCCTGCCTAATCGCCTTGCTCAGAGAAGGCACCGCCACTGCACAAAGTGGGGCCAGGCCTGAGCCTGTGCCGGCCAGTACCCTCAGGACTCTGGGCACTCATGGCGTGGCCTGAAAGGTTTGTCTCTGGACTCAGGCCACCTGATGGGATGTCTCCTCTCTCTAGGACTACCCATCAGTGGGCCAGCTGGCACACAAGCTGGCTGAAAGCAACATTCAGCCCATCTTTGCTGTGACCAAGAAGATGGTGAAAACCTATGAGGTAGGTGGAGTCAAGGTTGAGCTAGGCGGGGAGGACAGGCCATGACCGCTGCAGGTTGACAGAAACCAGCACTGCAGGACATCACCTTATTGCTGCTTCGTGTGCTGGCTTGTGGGCAGCCGCCTGGCTGGTGGCCAGTTTTCTGGGCGTGAACATCAGGGTGGAGAAGCTTTAGGCTGTCTTTGGACAGCACAACGTTTGCATGTGGGTTCAAAAAGGAATTTCCCTTGACTCGTATTTCCGTAATGTCAGCGGCGTAGGTCTTGTCGGTGGTGGTGGTGGTGGTGCTTCTGTTTTCCTTGGAACACAGCACAGCAAGTCTCCAGATCTATTCTTTGTTGTTGTTTATTGGGGGGAACTTCCTTGTTTTATGCCCACACACATTTTCAGTGTAGACATTTCTCATGAAGCATCAAGTATGAAGGAAAATCACAGATCTCAAGGGCAGAACTTTATGGATGTCACAGAGGAGGTACAGCTGAGTGACCAGTCTTCAGGAGGAGTAAGATCAGAAACCTGGGTCCTGCCTGTGACCCCAGGGAGACCTGGGCAGTGCATGCCTCCTTCATCACTTGTTGACTGGGAGCAAGCAGGAGCCAAGCCCAGAACAAACAGGACTGTGGACTTGACATTGGCTTTGAAACGGCCTGGAGAAGGAAGCAGTCCACCATCTATCCTTGTGCAGTCCTCAAGGCCCTGTGTCCAGGGAGTTCATCTCAGCTCTGCTGATGTAGAAACAGAGGCCTCAAGACGAAGGCAGAGTCTGACTCTTGTCATCAGGATGCTCACAGATCAGTGGTCTCACCTCTGTCCACTTGTCTTTGAAGAGGTCAGGGATAGGATCCAATGGTGTCACAGAGAAAGGAGTAGCTACGGGACTGGACAATGTTTCCAACGGTCAGGGTGGCTCCCTGCAGCCCCTCGCCACTCTGCCTGTGGCTCGTACTGTTCTGTCAGAGCCGCTGGACATGTGCGGGCCGTCCCGAGCTCTGACCAGTGTCTTGCCCCTGCCTCTGCTTGCTGGCCCGTGTGCAGCCTGGCTTGAGAAAACACCCTTGCCGGGGTGAGGTCCCTGGGCTGCGCCAGTGCACTCTGTATGCTCAGCCCAGGACTGCTGCTTCCCAAGAGCAGGTCATTCAACACTTTGCAGCACACAGGGGACTACGTACTCTCAGATCTCTGTGACACACAACTGTTGAGCATCGTGTGAGCCACAGCACAGCATGGAAGGTCCCTGGCCATCAAAAGCCTGCCAGGCTGGACATGGGCCCATGGTGCTAGCTGTGCTGGTTTTTTTGCCCGACAGAAACTCACCGAGATCATCCCCAAGTCGGCCGTGGGGGAGCTGTCTGAGGACTCCAGCAATGTGGTACAGCTCATCAAGAACGCCTACAACGTGAGTCTCTCTGCAGGGCGGCCACTGGGCTGGTCTAGACCCAATGGGCAGCAACCCTCCCCTCCCCTCCAGTCAGCAGAGGGTTGGGAGGGGGAGAGCCCTGCCTTGTGGGGCCCCTCAGGGATCCTGCGAGGCTCAGGGCAGCTCTGTGTCCTCTCACTGATGGCACCGGCATGTGCCATCCAGACCCCACCCAGACACTCCTTGAAACATGAGCTCCAGGCCCTCCTCCCCAGGGGCTCTTCCCTGCTGGTCACCAGGGAGAAGTGGGAAATGGATGGCTAGGGGAGCAGATGCTGCACCATGGGGTGGGGAGGCCCCAGAAATCACCACGGTGGACTTGGGTGCTTACCTGACAGCATCTCATGTACGCCAGCCCTCTTTCCTTCCTGGGCAAGCTCTGCAGGAGTCCTTGTCCCCTATCCTCCTTCCTGGCATGTAGCCCATCCAGCTGCACCCCAGGACTGTTCCCTTGGAAGTCCATGGTCCAGATGGATATGGGTGGGCAGCAGATACCACTCAGGCACCAGGCACCAGCGGGTCCCTGACCACTCTGGAAATCTCCCCTGGATGAGAGGCATTCTCAAAGTTCTGGCCTGTACCCATCTGATAAAAGGCAAAGGTCCTGAAGCTGGCAGCACACAGCATGTGGGAGTCCCATAAGCACTGCTGTCACCGAACTGACCTCAAGCTGTGATGCTCCCAGGGCCTTCTCCATCCTCGTTTACCCCAAGCAGGCTGCTGTGCCCAGCCGCTGCCTATCCATGTACCGTCTGCATGCATGGCACCGGTGATGTTCTCATTGCTCACCCATTCCGTGCCACCACTGTCTCCGTCTCTCTCAATCCCTCTTTCTCTGTCCCTCCTGGTCTCCCTCTGCCTATCTCTATCTCTCTCTCTATCTCTGTCCCTCCTTTTCCCTCTTTTCTCTGTCTCTTCTCTCCTATCTCTCCTGACAGTCCTCGTGGAGCTCACAGCCTGTGTCCATGTTGGTCCCCTGCAGGTGGCCTGTCTCAGAGCAGGCTGCTGCTGTCCCCTCCCGGGTGCATCCTGCTGTGTTCCCAGTGAGCATGGGTGTTGTTAATTGTGGATGCTTCACCCCTAAGCTCAGTTGCTCTCTGCCTGCAGAAACTGTCCTCCAGAGTCTTCCTGGACCACAGCACCCTCCCAGACACCCTGAAAGTCACCTACGACTCTTTCTGCAGTAATAGAGTGTCACTCATGAACCAGCCCAGAGGGGATTGCGATGGCGTGCAGATCAATGTGCCGGTGAGCTTAGCCTCTGCGAAGTAGTCTGGGGTCTCCTCCCCAGCACGCTGGGAGACCCACTCGGGGTCTCGATGACTCAGTCCCAGTGACAGCTACAAGAAAATGAAAGAGGCCCTCATGAGGAGGGGAAGCAGTCAGTGTCCAGCAGCCAGCCCCATTTTCCTGCATAAACCATCCTTTGTCACTAGGCCAGAAACTCCATGTGAGTCTGTGCCCTGACACTGGCAGCAGGACACAGAGAGGGCACCTCCCCAGACACAGAGCCATGTTTATCAGCACAGCAGAAGAACCCCCAAATCCCTGGAGTGGGCCAGTGTAGACTGACCAGCCATGCAATGACAGCGGCCCCTGGGGGCAACCGCAGGGCGTGCAGAGCAGGGCAAACCCTACCCATCTGGTTGGCTTGAGTTTTCCTGATTTTTGTTTGTTTCATTTTGGGTTTTTTTTGGCAAATATTAATACAGGAGCCATACAGAAATAGACATTGACTTATTTCCCTAATCTCTTAGATTCAAATGTATTAACCCAATTACTTTCTTTCTGCTGGCTGTAAACTAATATTCAGACAAATACTTGCTGTTACTGCACCTTTAATACGTCTTTCAAATTCCCAGATATCACTTCCAGGTGTCACTTCCTAGACGCTGTGTGTGCGTTTTTACCAGGGTATTTACCCTCATACTGGATGGTCCACCTGGGAATTTATTCAATTCTATTCATTTGCTGAGTTATCCTTTTTTTTTTTTTTATGGGCACATCTGTCTATCTTAAATTACCATGTGGAAATTCACTTCCACTTATTCTGGATGTGACTCAACTTTGCCAAACCCACACCCCCTGCAGCCAGCGCTGGCACCTGCCTTCCTTGTGCCAAGAGTGGAGCGGTGCCCACTGTGTGCAGCCTCCCTGATCCCTGGCACTGGCTGGCTGCCCGTGATGCTCACCCTCCATCCAGGGTCAGGACACAGCTGCCTTTCAGGACCTGAATCTTCTGTGGGGTGCTGGTGGCTTGGCACACCGCACTTATGCACAGGATACAAGAACAAGTGGTTCCCTCAAAGTCACTTTAAAGTCCCCTACTTTGTGGAATAAAATGTAGTCTACCAATGTTCCCTCCCCAGTCTGAACCTCAGGAGGTGTCAAGTACTGGCCAGTGAATGCTGGGGTGTAGACTTTGGCCTCGCTGTGGCCGGGCCCCATCACCATCCCGAGCTCCAGCTCTCATCAGGGAAGCTACACCATCCCCTCCTCACACTCTGATCTGCTCCCCCCGAACCCCTAGAGACCAGCACCCTGCAATCTGCACAAGCCCCGTATGCTCTACAGCCAGTAAGGGAACAGGAGCAGGGCTGTGATCCTTGTCCTCTTGGTCCCCACCTGAACCCTGCCCCTGCCCCACAGATCACCTTCCAGGTGAAGGTCACAGCCACAGAGTGCATCCAGGAGCAGTCCTTTGTCATCCGTGCCCTGGGTTTCACCGACACAGTGACCGTGCAAGTCCTTCCCCAGTGTGAGTGCCAGTGCCGGGATCAGAAGCAGGACCACAGCCTCTGCAGAGGCAAAGGCTCTGTGGAATGTGGCATTTGCAGGTGAGGTGGGCACAAGCTGCCCTCAGCTCCCCACCCACAGGGCAGGTGTCTATTGGTGAGACAGACAGGAAAACCACTGCACCCTGCCCATACCACAGGACAGGTATCTATATGCAAGACAGACACAAGGAAGACCACAGCACTCCACCCACCCAACAGGGCCGGGCACCTCTGAGGGGCACCCACCGCATTCAGCCCCCTCCTCAGCCCCAACCAAGCAAAGCCTATACCCCCTAAATGCTCCAACAGCTCCAACCAACTGCTCCCCATCTATGAGTGGGGAAACTGAGGCCCAGAGAGGCACAGAGCAGAGAAAGCAGAGTGGTGAGTAAGGGTCTCGTGCCCCTGAATGAGGAAGCTGAATTATCTTCCCAATGGGCGCTCACTGCTCAAAGGTGGCTGGCCTCACCCTCTGCCTCCCATCCAGGACACCAGGGCTGTGTCTGTGACATCCAGCCCCAGCCCACACACTGCACACTGCCAGGCTGTCCACTGTGGACAGCTGTCAGCTCAGCCACTTCAACCTTCACCCCACCTACTGAGGAGCCCAGAGCCACAGCCACCTAGCCAGAGCTGCCGGGCCAACCCCGCCAGGGAACCTGCCCTGTTTACCACTGGTCACCTTCCTCTCCCCTGACTGCTTTCCCAGTGCCCTGTCCCAGTCCTCAGGTTTGCACCGCCCCCTGCATCCTCCCAGCAGCTCTGTGACAGTGGCTGTCTCTGGGTCCTGGCTCAGTGGCACCTGCTCTTTTTCTGAGTGTGCAGGCCTGGGGTGACCTCCCCACAGGACTGAGGATGACTTGGTTAGATCATTGGGCCACTGGTCAGCGGTCCCGAAGCTCCTTCCTCTGGGAGGTAGGACAGTCCATTGCAGGGTCACCTCCGTGCATGACTGGACCTGTGCTCAGAACTCACATGCCAGTGGCTTGGCTACTGTCACCTTTGTCCTACTAAACCACGGGTCCCTGCCTCCTTCTGCCTGCTATGTCCAGGCAGCAGTGCTAAGTCCCCACCAGCCACCTTTGCCCCAGAGTGTGTGGAAGCAGACACTGGCCACATGGCACAGCTCATGGGGCAGCTCCAAGGTGAGCCTGCCAGAGGTGCCACACTTGCAGAAGATCACCCGTGTGCCCTCAGAGATGTCCCCACCTAGTTCCTATGTGTGCTCAGGAGACCCTTAAGGAAAGAGCAGACACCACAGGTTATAGCAGGTGTTTTACAGCAGGGTTGGGCCCTGAGGGACGGGAGGTGACCCCATCACAGGGGAGGGTCTGAATGCAGCCCTTTCTGCCCCAGGTGCGATGCAGGCTACATTGGGAAAAACTGTGAGTGCCAGACCCAGGGCCGGAGCAGCCAGGAGCTGGAGGGAAGCTGCAGGAAGGACAACAGCTCCATTGTGTGCTCGGGGCTGGGGGACTGCATCTGTGGGCAGTGCGTGTGCCATGCCAGTGACGTCCCCAACAAGCAGATCTTTGGGCGCTACTGTGAATGCGACAATGTCAACTGTGAGCGCTATGATGGCCAAGTCTGCGGTGGCCCACGTGAGTGGTCGGGTCCTGGTCCTGACGGGGGCCATCCCCGGGGCTTTCTTATTTCTTTGTACTGGGTGGGGGACCTTGAGTGGGAGGCTGGGAACAGGCATACAGATGGACAACAGTTGCAAGTCTCGCTCAGCTGCTCAACAGCAGCAAGATCTGGAGTGACCCTCCTTCCTTCCTGGCCAGTTTCTGTGTCTGTGAGGGTCAGGAGTCATCCTGGGAGGAGCCCTGGGGGCAGCGCTCATGGCCTGACTGGGATCCCATTCACAGGTGGACTGTGGAGGCCCAGATTGGCTGAGAGGTGACTGTGTTGCTGGTGGGGCCACATGGGCCTGCTCAGACACAGTTGTCCTTACATGGCCAGTGCCATGGGACTGCAGGAGGGACAGGCGGAGGTGGGCAGTGGCAGAGGCTGAAGGCACAGACCTCCCTGTGAAGCGGTGTCGGGCAAGTGAGCAGCCATTGGGGATTCCTGGCGTCCCTGCCTGGTAGAGAGGTCACAGCGGCCTCCTCTGTCTTCCAGAAAGGGGCAGCTGCTCCTGTGGCCAGTGCTACTGCATGGAGGGCTACGAGGGCTCGGCCTGCCAGTGCCAGAGGTCCACCACGGGCTGCCTGAACGCACGGCGGGTGGAGTGCAGTGGCCGCGGCCGGTGCCGTTGCAACACATGCGAGTGTGAGAGTGGCTACCAGCCGCCCCTGTGCGAGGACTGCCCCGGCTGCCCCTCACCCTGCAGCCGGTACATGTGAGTGTCCTCCTGTCCTTGCCTGACTCGCTGCCAGGCCCACCTGGAGCCCAGGGAGCACCCACTGCACAGCAGCCCCAGGCAGGATCCAGCAGCCCCAGCGCCCCCTGACCTCTCCCTTCCTTTGAGCACCTGGGGAGGCCTCACTTCAGGGGGTCTCAGTCCTGTGTCTCTCTCCCACCTTGGATCAGGTTTCCACTCCCACCAGCTCTGCCCTCCATTCCCCACCCTGGACACAGCCTCCCTCCCTCACTCACACCCCTGGTAGCACCCAGGCCCACCTGGTGGGCAACACCCACAGCCCTTCCACACCAGGCACCCCAACACGCCTATGTACCCCAAAGCACCTATGCACACCATGTACCTTGACACACATCCTTGCACCCTCACACACCTGTGCACCCCAAAGCACCAGTGCACCCTGACACACCAATGCATCTTGGCACACCTGCACATCCCAATGCACTTGTGCGTCCTTGCACACCTGTGCACCCTGATGCACCCCTGCATCCTGACACACCTGTGCACCCCAATGCACCTGTGCAGACCACGCACCCTGACACATCCGTACACCCTGGCACACCTGTGCACCCTTGCCTAGTTGTGCACATGACACCCGTGCATCCTCGCACACCTGTGTGCCCTGACACACCCATGCACCCTGACACACCAGTGTGCCTTCACACACCAGTGCACCCTCACACGACCTCACACCATCTCGTGTCCTACCTTTTCCCTGTTCATCACTCCCTTGTGCCCACTCATGCCTGGCTCCTCTGCAGTTCCTGTGCTGAGTGCCTGAAATTTGCCAAGGGACCCTTTGAGAAGAACTGCACAGATGCGTGCAAGAACGTGAGCGCACAGGCCGCACCTGTGAAGGGCAAGTCCTGCAAGGAGCAGGACTCAGAGGGCTGCTGGATGACCTATACCCTGCGGCAGCGGGATGGGAAGGACAGCTATGACATCTATGTGGAGGAGAACCGAGGTGAGGCTGGCCGGTGCCCAGGGTCTGGGGCAGAACTCTACCACGGGGCCTCCACAGATAGTGAGGGGCTACGGAGGGAGCCCCCTGTCCTCTGTGGGACAAGGCAAACCCAGCAATGGTAAACCAGCCATCTAGGCCACCAACGTGACCGGGCAGCTGTGTGTTTGCCCCACTTTGCCAGTTTTCCCCTTCGCTCAACTTTCCTTACTTGACCCCATGTGGGGCAAGAGGCAGTAGACACAGGCAGGAACACCACTATGTACTGACCACCCAGTCTCCTAGGATAGCTCCCACTTGATGGGAGGATCCCAAGGGCTGGTGCCCATCAGCTGCTCCATGGGGACTTTCTGGACAGCAAGGCACTGACACCCCAAACACTGTTTGCCATCCCTCCAGTAGGCGCTGGTCCCTGCCAGACTCAGTAACACCTGTGAACTTGGGGACCACGACCTGGTCCCCCTTCTTGAGGTTCACATTCCAAGGGGGAGGGAGGCACTTGGTCACGTGTCAGACACCAACACCCACTTGCATGGAGCTGTGGCCGAGATCACAGTGATGCCTAGATCTGGGGGTGAGGGATCTCCAAGGTCAGGAGTTCTCTCAGAAGGAAGGTTGAGAGTGTTGGGACAAGAAGAGGTGAGAACATGGTGGTCAGAGATGTCAGCACCAGTCACAGAGCTCCCCAAGTCCTGGGATGGGTCAGGTTTGTTCCTGGATGTACCCCAGGAGACCATTAGTTGGTTTCCAGGAGAAAAGTGGTTCAAAACCAAGTTGTGCTCTTAAACTCTCACCTGGAAACCATGTAGAAACTGTCCGTTCAGGGGCCAAGTGAACACTATACTCTCAGGGGATGAGTGGACACTGCTCTGTCAGGGGACAGGTGGACGCCATCCTGCCAGGGAGGTAGGTACTGTCCTGTTAGGGGAGGTGAACATAGTCCTGTCAAGGAAGGTAGACGCTATTCTGTCAGGGGAGGTGGACTAGGTCCTGTCAGAGGACAGGCAGACACTGTCCTGTCAGTAGCCAGGTGGACGCTTCCTGCCAGAGGCTGTTGAGGGCTGCTGACCAGTCCAGGACCTGATAGAGCAGAGGTGACAGGTGGGCTTGGTGGGGTAGGGGTGATGTGGACAGAGCCTGGCCTTGGATGAAGCATGGTGGAGGAGCACTGGGAGGAATAAATGATGGGTCAAGGATCCAGGACCCCAGCAGTTGGAGGGGAAGACAGGGGGATTGCGAGGTTTTGAGGTGCTTTGGATCACAGTGACCAAAGATGTCAGGGACACTGACGTGGGCAACAAGACACATGAAGGGATGGAATGGGCCATGAGGGTTTAGACATGGATCCCTCAGGATTCCAGCACCCCCACCACATTTAGGTTCAGAGAGGTGAGGGGACAGAGTTGGGGAGACCACTTAAGTAACCACAGGGACCTCAGGCCAGTAGCACAGGGACTCCTGCAAGACTGAGACCTGGAGCGCCCTGCCCCCACCCCTCAAGACAGTTACCTGAGAAGCAGGTGGGGCCCTGACTCTCCATGTGACATGTGAGGTACCTTGCGCTCACAGCCTGCTTTCCAGCCTGGGGGCTGCAGGCTCCGGCCTACCAGGGCAATGGCCTCCCCAGGTTGCTCTGATGTACACAATTGGTTCACATCTGGTTTTGTGCAACCCTGGCCAAGTTACTTAACCTCTATGAGGGCAGTGGGTCTGCTGCAAAGGCCAGGATGATCTGTGGGGAACCACAAAAATCTCAGTGTTGGGGGCCCAGCAGAGAAGGGCTCGTGATGACTTAATGCCTCTGTTCCATGGTCGGGGCCTGCAGCATGGCCCACTGCAGCCCAGAGCCCCGTGCTGAGGAGGAGGCCAGGCGCTGCTCATCCCCACAGCTGCCTGAGCTGCCTGAGCACAGGCCTCTGGTCTCTGCTGTTGGTCACAGTGATCGCCTTCCCCCGGGCGCACACTCGAGCAGAGACATCACGAGTTCCCATTCCTGCACTCTGCAGTGAGATGGTTGGGCACCCCTTGCGCACGTTCCCACTGAGCATCAAGCATGGACACACCGTCTGCCGGTCTGGGGACAGCTAACGGCTGTCCTAGCAGGTAGTGCCCATGAGTTGGGAGGCTGGTGTCTCATCCGGGCTCTGTTCAGATTGGACAGTGACCTGGCCTCTCTTCTCTGTGAACAAGGGGCCGTGTTAACTGTCATCTGGAGCCATGGGCCTCGCCTTGTTTCTGGCACCCGCCCATGGCCGTGTGGTGGATGGTGAGCTCCGCAGTGGGACCCTCTGTGGGACTAGGCACAGTGCAGTGGCCATGGGTTGACACTTCGGGACGTGCTTCCTCCTTAGAGTGCGTGCCAGGCCCCAACATCGGCGCCATTGTAGGGGGCACTGTGGGGAGTGTCGTGCTGATTGGCATCCTCCTGCTGGCCATCTGGAAGGCCCTGACCCACCTGAGTGATCTCCGGGAGTACAGGCGCTTCGAGAAGGAGAAGCTCAAGTCACAGTGGAACAATGTAAGTGGCCGTCCTGAGGGTCCCACGTGGAGGGACGCACACCTCCCACCCTCTGTAACGTCTCCCTGTGGGGCCATGACCGTGGCTGTCCATGAGAGCTGCACACACCCCACCCCAGCAGCTGGTCCCCAGAGCGTGCGCTACAGTGCGCAAGCTTCGCCACTGAGGCTCAAACCTTGGGAAGGCCCCACTCTGGCTCACTCGCCCCTCAGAGTGACAGCTCAGACGGACCTGGTGGCCTCAGAGCTGGCGCTGGAAACTTCCCTGTACCGACAAGGCCATGTTTGGTTTCTCTCCAGGATAATCCCCTTTTCAAGAGCGCCACTACGACAGTCATGAACCCTAAGTTTGCTGAAAGCTAGAGCACCTGGTGAAGAGGAGGCCACTAGGTCCAGCTACATGGAACCCCTCACAACCCACCACTGTGACAGGCTTACAACTCACAAAGAGAAGCCCTCTTGCTCCTATCAACACAGCAGAGCTGGCTGGGCTTTACACAGATTCATCCTCAGGGACAGCCTCCCCTTCTGATCTGTGCAGTCCTTCCATGGACCCCAGAAAGGGACTTCCTAAGTCTAGGAAGTCAGAGACCTGTCTTCCAGTACAGGTTAGGAGGGCAGTCTCATTAAAGGTGGTGCAAATGTATTTATAGTTAAACTTGCCCCGGGTAAAACTACATCCCGTTGATTATACTGTTAACCAGTCATGTGTTTAGAAAACGTAATAAAGCTTCCATACGGGCTGTCCATAGAGGCTGGTCTCGGCAATGTCCTCTAGGGTAAGGTGGCTGAACTCCTGGGGCTTCATCCTGCCTGCTTACCGGTCTTTCACACTTGAGGGTACAGATCCACTCTGTGCCATGGGTTGGGCTGCTGTTCTTTTTCCTCCTTTCTCACCCAGTGGTTCATGCATACAGAGTCCTCCCAGCCCTCTGTCCCAAGTCCTAAACAACTTTCCACAAAATGGCAGAAATGGTCATCTCCCACCCCAGCTGTCTCCCTGTCAGGTACAGGAGAAGGCATGGTGGGAGAACACAAGCTAAGAGGTATTTTATAAGCAGCTTATTTCTCATGGGTTGCTTTTTGGAGTGACCTGGAAAGTCATCATTGATCTGAGTCCCACAGTGGGTGAATAAGCCCAAGTCATGTGTGATTTCTGGATGCCATGATCTCTGAAGGTGATAACCCAACCCTGTAAATGGCCACCCAGCACATGTGCCCAAACCTCAGAGTGGGCAAGGACTGGCCAGGGCCAGTGAGAGCCCCTCAGGGTAGGGAAACTTGGGGTCCCAGTGTATTCACACTCCTTCGAAACAGAGGTGCTCACTCTCACTCAGATCCACATCAAGTGCATGTGAGAGAGGTGGGGAGACGTGAGTGCAGGGTGTGTAATTGTGTATCTGTGTCCTGTGCAGAAATACATTTCCAGGTGATACTTGCCCTTATTTTTTCTTAAAAATAGAATTCTTTATTAAAATTCAAAAAAACTTTTGAGTAAATGACATGGCATTCATTCAAAAAGTACTAATGAGAACCAAGCATCAGTGGCTCACGCCTATAATCCTAGGTACTCTGGAGGCAGAGATCAGGAGGATCACAGTTCAAAGCCAGCCCAGCAAATAGTTGGTGAGACCCTATCTCGAAAATACCCAACACAAAAAAGGGCTGATGGTAGAGCATCTGCCTAGCAAGCGTGAAACCCTGAGTTCAAACTCCAGTGCTGCCAAAACCAAAACAAAACAGTACTAATAGTTTGTGCTGTGCACCAGTGTGGATAAAACAGCAGGAAGGGCAGACAGGTCCCTGCCTCGGGCGAGGCCCCCGGCAGGAGCACAGGGCTCAGGACAAGGTCAGACCTGGGGGCTGCAGAAGAAAGCCATGCTAGACAACATAGAGCCAGGATTAAAGGAAGGCCATGCGTACCTCACCCCTAGTGTTACAAATCAGCTGGCTGGTGTTCTTCTGCTCACCCCAGATAGAAATTATGGGTCCGTGGGGAGAAGCTCCTCCAGTTACCCTGGGCCTTGGTAAGTGTTTGCAGGCAGCAGAGTGGATCACAGCCGGCAGACCTAAGTGTGACAGCTCTTTTGTGCCCAGGCAGGGACCAGTGGCAGGAGGTGTCTCTCCACCAGTAGATCCCAACTGGCCACTGTCACTTTCACTTCCACCTCTGTCCCCACAGTACTCTCTACTGCCAGCCACCCTTGTCAGCTTCCCCAATGTGATTGGCTTAAGGCCACTCCCACCTTGGGCCACTCAACCTTGCTGCTGCCACTGCTGCCACTTCTCTTGCTGCCACTGCTTGTTCTCTTTATTTTCTTTGTCGTCAACTCAGCAAAGGTAGGCAAGATGACTCAAGAGAAAGTCTTTATTGGGACTCAATGTTGCAACGACAGGGATGCAGCACAGGAGGGTGTCTACCTTGCTTATCCTTTTCAGACCAGACCCAGCTAGTAACTTCTCTGTTCTATTCTGAGAAACCACGATACCCAGAAGGCATACCTCCAGGCCAAATGATACCCAGGTCTCATCAAAGTGAGCTGAGTGCCCACTTATATTACCAGAAAGCAGACAGGGTGCAAGGGTGCACCAATCATGACAGGCCCCTTACGCAAACGAAGGATTGTGTTTGCAACAATCACAGCAGTCCCTGGTACCTCACACACCCATACATCCTGACACACTGGTGCACCCTGACAACCTGCGAACTGTGATACACCAGTGCACCCTGGCACACCTGTGCACCCTCCCCCTGCCTCCCTCTTCCAGTATCGCTCCAGTTAGCATGGAGACAAAGTCCTGGAGGCATTGCAGGTTGCTTGCGGTAGAAGCAAGTCCCATCTTAGAGTCCTTGCCAAAGGCATTGGGTTGTCAGAGGCCTGGGTAAGACTGCCCTGTAATGATGGTGCCAATAGAGCTGCATTAACTGCAGACTCAGCCGGCTCCCTCTTTGTAAGTTTCTTTCTTTTGGTTGCTGCCTGCCTTTGTTCCTCATCCCTGTTGCTGAAAATTTTGAAGGCCACGTCTACCAGTTCTGAAATGGGAGAACTAGAGTTTGCGCCAGGTGTCAGAAGCTAACTAAGATGAAGTGTTTGGCTAGAATAGATACATGTTCCACCCAGTCAAGGTCAAGGTTAGCAAAACAGCGGAGGTTATCAGATAGTCGGGAAAGGAACAGGGCAGGGTTTTCATTTGGGCCCTGGGTAATTTTCCTGACTTCATCGAAGTTGACAGGCCTCATACCTTCTATCAGGTGTGTACGCTTGTGGTCTCAGACTTCCGAGACCATCAGAACTGGCACGGGGGGGAGCAATTGATAATCTCATTGGGGTCTTTATTAGGAGTTGCATCTCCTCTGGGGGTACTGCTCCTTTCTTCTCCGTTTACACAGGTTGTAAAAAAAAGGAAATGAGTATCCCACCATTCTAAGTCATAGGTGAGAAAGAGGTGTTCGAATTCCTTAGCAATTGAGACTATCTAGGTTGGCTTCAATTTGGGGAAAGTCTGTAATGTAACTCTCATGAACCTCTCTACACTTGCTATCTCCTGAAGGAAAGGGAGGTGTTTGGGGCACTGAGGCCTCAACAGGTGTCCTGACCTGGTGAAGCTGGAGGGAACAGCGGGAGAAGAGGGTCTGGGGAGGAAGGGAGGAGAGGGTGAATAAGTGACAGGCGATGTGTGATCAGGTGGGGATGGGCCCCTAGAGCATTCTTAGAGGGGAATTTGGTTCCGAAGAGAGTCTGTCCTCCCAAAAAGATTGAAGGGAAGAGCCAGGCACCAATGGCTCACGCCTGTAATCCTAGCTACTCAGGAGGCAGAGATCAGGAGGATGGTGGTTCAAAGCCAGCCCAGGCAAATAGTTCACCAGACCCTATCTTGAAAAGACCATCACAAAAAAGGACTAGTGGAATGGCTCAAGATGTAGACCCTGAGTTCAAGTCCCAGTACTGCAAAAAAAAAAAAAAAAAACGAATAAAGGGATGGATAAAAGGTGAGGAGGCTGAGAAAGAAGAGGCATCAGGAGAGAAATCATCCGAGAACTCAGAATTTGTTTTGGCGGGGTTGGGGAGAGGTGAGAAGGAAGAGTCAACAGAAGCACCAGACAGGTGATGAGTTGAAGGTCTGAGTCTTGGGAAAGAGCCAGAAAGACCTGGGAATAGGTAGCATTGGTCCCTTTGACAGATGGTGACATGGGTATCTGGATTAGACTGGAACATTGACCAGGGTGTGGGGACATGTCTTCAATGTTTTAGGGTACTGTGGCTCTCAGGACTGAACAAGAAGTTACTAGCTGGGTCTGGTCTGAAAAGGATAAGGAAGGTTATCCTACCCAAAATGGAGTCCAGACACAAAGTGGAGTTTCCAAGGCCCATTAGTTAGCTTCACACCCAACATCTCAAGCACATTTAAGGAAAAACAAGCTTTCAGAGGGTGCTTACAGCAAAGGCTTGTCAGTGACAGTGCTTTACAGAAGTAACAGCGCTCTACCTGTGCTTAGCTTCTGACCCAGTGCCCCAGGCAGAGGTGGGTCCCCTCCTTCTGTTCCACGGTGCTGTTAACCATACTAGCAATGTGACATCCTTCCACATCTAGCAAAAGAATCAGGCCTTGTTTTATTTATCTGAAATGTTCAAAATTGATTGAAAAAATGGAACCGTTTTTCAGACAAAGCTGGGATGCAGGTCATGCCCTGCTCCATAAGTGTTAGTGTCCTGCATGTCCCTGGGCTCCTCCAAACCCTCCCATGTCAGCCTGCCTCACAGAACCTGCACCCCAAAGCCCCCTCTCTTCACTTCATCCCACGGACACAGGCATAAAGGCAGCACATCCCACAACCTTCAGCTCTCCTTCCTCTGGGGTGCCCTGTGTCTCCCTTGCTGGTGCCCTCCAGTCCTTTCCCGGTGCACCAAGGTCTACACAGACACTGCAGATGGACAGGCACCTGTCCCTTTTTTACAAGATGGGAGCAGACTCTCCTGACACCGGCCCTGGCCTCCATCCCCACAGCCACAGCTCCAGCACCGTGATTCTGTTTAATCACACAGGTCTGTGGATTGTGGAGTCCACACACACTCACCGGTGTTGTCACTTGGCTTTCTTATTTTAAAGACAGGCTTCACCACAAAGAAGAATGAAATTTTGTTGTTTGCAAGTAAATGGATGGAACAGAGAATATCATCTTAAGTGACGTTATCCAGGTTCGGAAGGCCACAGGCCTTGTGTTTCCTCTCTTATGTGAAATACAGAGCCCAATACAAATACAAGCAATATTATGAAAAACAGGTCACGCTCAGGGAAGGTCACCAACTGGAGGGGGATGGTAAAAGAAGAAAGTTAGGAAGGTGAACATGGTTGATGTACTTCCTCTACAAGAATGAATATAGAACTTTTAAACTTGTTAAAATCACCGTAAGAAGAGGACTAAGGTAGAAAGGAGAAAAATAGAGGGGATGAACCCATTCAGGTTATAATACATATGTACATGGAAAAGTCACAAAGAAACTCCCTGTGCAGCTATCTTAAACAAACAAAGGATATAGAGAAAGGGTGCGTGAGGACAAATATGGTGGAAATGTTATATATTCATGTGTGAAAATGGAAAAATGAGACCTGTTGAAATGGTTCCAGGAATGGGGGGAAGATGGGATAGAGGGCAGTGAATTAAAAAGAAAAAATCTAACATTGCAATTGAACTTTAAAAAAAAAGAAGACAGGCTTCAGAGCTAACTAGGGTCAAAGTCTCACACGGGATCTAAGCCAACTTGGAGACTGTGTTTAGAACTCCAGGTTCTTCCTATGAACTGACGTTTGTATGGGTCCTGTCTTGCTTTTATTTTTGGGGGGGATGGTTTGCTGGTGATTGAACCCAGGCCCTCGGGCGTGCTCGGCAAGTGCTCTACCTCTGAGAGTCCTCTGCTGGGGTTTGACTGGCTCCCCAAAGCTCAAGTTGAAATCGAATTGCCACTGTGACATTCTGTGATGAGGGCTGATGTCAGAAGCTATCTCAAGCATGATGAACAGTAGAGTTGGTGTCCTCAGAGCTGGTCGAGACACGGGGTGGTAGGGTAGACCCAAGGGTGGCCTTGGGTCTTCGTCCAGCTCCACTTCTTCTCAGCTGTGTGACCTTGAACAAGTAATGTTTTCTATCCTGTCAAAAGCACAGGAGAAGGGATCACTGAAGCCCCTGTCCCCCGGAGGACTCAGAGAGGCTGGCTGCTGGCCAGGGAGGGATAACCCCCTGACCAGAGCCCACATGGAGTGAACCAGCTGCAAACCCTGTGAAGTGAACAGCTGTTCTCTGCCCTGTTGAAGCCATCTCTTATTCTGGGGTGCACATTCCCAACCCTGCTCAATACATGGAAAATGGGCTCTGGCCTGGGGCACAGCCATCCCTCCACACCTTCCCCAGCCAGACCTCTGCTGACCTGGGCCTGTCTAAGGGCTCCCACAGACCCAGGCCCCACCCCTGGCCAGGTCCTCTCCAGCAGTACAAAGTCCCCAGTCCCTCAGTGCAAGCTCTTTGTCCTCCCAGTGTTGAGGTTTAATGTGCTATGGTCCAGGAAGACACTTCAGTCTTCTTATGTAGCTTGTCTGAAAGTAATTCTTTAACCTAGTAAGGAATAAACTTGTAATGCTGGAACAGACACTTAGCTACCAAATAAAAATGTGGGTGAAACCCTCAGCAGGTGACTCTGGTGTGTGCTAGGGAAGGACCCTGGAGTTCCAGAACTACAGGCCCTCTGCCTGTGGGGCTGGACTGTACCCTAAGACCCTAGAAGACCCTCTCCATGGGCCTAGGGTGTGGCTCCCAAGCTGTCAGCTGAATTCCTTAACTGTACTTCCTGGAGGAACATACAGGCTTTTGAGCAGAAATTGCTCTCAATATTGTTCTGTTTCTCTGAAACATCTCTACAGTTTGTGCTTCCTGTACGATGTCCCCTGAGGGTCATTCCTGTGAGCATGGAGCTATTCAACAATTGAAGTTGTAGCTGTGGACTGCAGATGTGTTCAGTCACGTCATCTACCTCCTCCCTCTTTTAAATTCCTCCCACTTCTGTGTGGATATAAACAGGAACATGGGCTATAATTTTTCTGAATTTTTGCATCACTGATTTGTCCCAAAACCTATCCATTTGTATTTTTTTTTTTTGGTGGTACTGGGATTTGAACTCAGGGCCTCATGCTAGCTAGGGAGGTGCTCTACCACTTGAGCCATGCCCCAGCCCCTTTTGCTTAGGTTATTTTTTAATAGGGTCTCCCATTCATGCCTGGCTGGCCTGGACCAGGATTCTTTTATTTACATTTCCCTGTGGGTGGGATGACAGGCGTGTACCAAGATGCCCAGCTTTTTAGTGGTTAAGATAGGGTCTCATGAACTTCTTGCCTGTGGCTTGCCTCAAACCTGACCTCCTGATCTCCATCTCCACAGTAACCAGAATTATAGGCACGTTCCACTTGCACTCTTACTGTTGTTGTGGGACTGGAGTTTGAACTCAGGGCTTCACACTTGCAAAGAGGCCCTCTGCTACTTGAACCACACCTCCACTCCATTTTGCTCTGGTTGTTTTGGAGATGGGATCTCTTGAAGGATTTGCTTGGGCTGGCCTCCAGCCATAATCCCAGCCTCCCAAATAGCTTGGATTACAGGCGTGGTCCACCGGGCTGGCCTCCAGCCATAATCCCAGCCTCTCAAATAGCTCGGATTACAGGCATGGGCCACCACACCCAGTGAAATATGAAATACACAAGATAAATCTAACATACAATGAGGTGAACTTTTGGTGGTACTGGGGTTTGAACTCACAACCTTGTGCTTGCTAGGCAGGCACTCAACCACAAAACCATGCCTCTAGCCCCTACCCACTTGTTTTTTTAAGACGTTGCTACTGGTGTCATTGTTTAGAAGATAGTAGCATTCTACTATCCTGTTTACAAATGCCTAATGTCCTCTAACCATCATTAAATTAGTTGGTTGGGTGCAAACATGTTTGTTCCAGGTTCAGAGTTCTATAGCTAGGCTGCGTCTGCTGTTTCTGCAAGTAGATTTTTAAACGCTTTTTTGCATAACATAAGATTCCTTGGGGACACAAAGTACTTGCCCCGGAAGAAACGGAGCAGAGAGAGACACAGGTTACTGCTGCCAAAGCCCTCTTCAGGACTTTATCACTGTGCTGAGCCAGTGGGAAGGTGCAACCTGCTTGTTACAACACCCCCTTGCACACCAACGCACCAGGGACTTGTCGTCCTTGTGCAGGGGTATCAAGTGCAGCCCTCTGGTGACCGTGTGCCAGGCCCGAGGAAACTGCAAGGAGCCACGAGCACGGAGTTATCTCAGGTCTCCATAAAGGGGGAGGGCAGGAAAGTTGACACTGGGCTATGACCTTCGGTACCTGACTGCTCGATCCTGGGCTCGTTTCCTTCCTCAACTGCGAAGCTGAAGCTCTCTGAGGCTGCGTAACTTGGGGAAGGTGGTGGTTGTGAGAACAGGTAGAGCTGGGATCTGCCTCGCATACAAACAAAGGCGTGCTTGTCCGCCAAGGGAAAGAGAAAACAGGGCTAGGGAGAAAACCCTCTGGTTGCCTATGACTGTTCCTGGAACTGCCCTGTGCCAATCTGGTGAAATGGGCCATTTTCTTTTCTTTTTTATTTTTTTACTTCTTGTTTTTCTTTGTCTCTTAGGTTTTTTTGTTTGTTTGTTTGTTTGTTTGTTTTGGTAGCATTGGGGTTTGAACTCAGGGTCTTGTGCTTGCTAGTGTAAGAATCAACTAAATTGGGTCTTTTCTCTCAAAGAGCAAGCTCAGTCAGTAGAGCATAAGACTCATCTCAGGGTTGTGGGTTTGATCCCCTTCCTCCTGCCCCACCCCCAGTATCACACTATGGAATGTCTGCCACTGTCTGGATATTAGCTAATTTCCCAGTCGTCTATGTGCTTGGTGGCACGTCACCTGGCTGTAAAGTTTCTGCCCTGAAGCAGAGAATTGTCATTGGATGTCCTAACTCAAATTGCTAGCTTTAAGATAATCATTGTCCAAAGGAATCTCTGCTTCAAGATCTCCTTGGCCCATGGGTTAATTGTACACTTGGTGCTGTCATTTCAGGTCAAACAGTCCTTTCAGGCCTCAGTTTCCCCAGAATCCTAGAATTCTCACCTTATGGGTCACCTCTTTGATTACACCAACCAAATTTAGTGTTCATGCTGTCCATCATGTCTGCTCCTCTCCTATGTCCTCCCCTAAGCCTCAACCTTAATCCATTCCAAAGACTGTGAACCCTGACCTCCCTCCCTTAGAGCAAGGGGCAGTCCTGCGTCAGGGATAAAAATGGAGGCAGTCTTTCTGCCCCCGTGTGTGTGCTGGCTTGCCTGACAGGTCAGAGGCACACACCCCCTTCTGCAGAAGTAAATTTTGCCTTGTCCATCAACTTTCGAGCATGTGCCTGATTTGTGACCATGCAGTGCCCCGATATTTCTAACACTAGGCAGGCACTCTTACCCGCTTGAGCCACTCAATCAGCCATTTTTTGTGATGGGTTTTTTGAGATAGGTTTGGGATAGGATCTTGCAAACTATTTGCCTAGGGCTAGGCTTCGAACTGCAATCCTCCTGATTTCTCTGCCTCCTGAATAGCTAGGATTACAGGCCTGAGCCACCAGCGCTTAACTATGTTCTTAGCATCTGTGCATAAACTGCGGACTATGGCCTTAAGATTGACTATACACACAACTCTAGCCACTGCAGATGCAGCATGCAGACTCCCTCAAACACCCCTGTGGATTTCTGTGTTCTGATAAATTCCAACCCTCCCTTGGCACCTGGCCTGGGCATTGTGTCGCTAACTGCAATCCTATTCTTTATTCCCAAATGAATACTCCTTTACTGGAGATTTGTCTCTGTATTTCTGTTGACTTTGATGCTGCCTTAGGTCCTTGCACACGGACACAGGAATACAGGAGTTTAACAGTGACCTCTGGGTCAGAAAGTAGTACTTTCCACACTGCCCCCTAGGGTGGAGGGCAGCTTAGATTGTAGCCATTTGGGAGCCGTCCTTGGGAGGAGAGGAAACATAGAAGACTCCTTAGTCCACAGAGCTGAATCCCAGCATGCTGGGAGAGGGGGGATGCAGAGCCCATTACCCACCCCACCAAGTCCTCTTCCCTAGGGGTTCAGGTAGACTTGGAACAGCTACAGGACATGTCTGTGAGGCCCTGAAGATCAAAGATGGCAGACTTAGGTATGATGTCTAAGTCTAGGATTCTGCCTCAGGTGCAGCAAAAGAACCTTGAAGAGGAGGAAGACAGCAAAAAGTGACTTATCGAGGAGTGAGGCAGGCAGTTCCCATAAGGACTGTCTGAATGGAAGCTGCCAGGGCTTAGGGTTTTATCCAATAGGGTGGGTTTCCTAGGTGACTCCAAACACAGGCCTTCCCATATGGCCCCTCCCCACACAGTCTGATGACTTCCAAGCAGCTGCCAGGGGGTAGGAAGCATATGCCTGCATAACTCCTTTCATCTTCTTTGCCCTTCCTAGTTTAGTACACCAGTGCTCTCAAGGTGCACGCCAGCCCTGACATGGGGAGTGAGCTCCACAAGGAGGCCATAGGGCTATTATCTTAATTGTTGGCTCAGGGTGTAGGCCTCTGAGGCTTTAGAATGGAATCTTGTAGCCTGGGATTTCCTTATTCCTGCTCATGACTACCTACCTGACACCCCACCCATGGCGCAGACGTCTCTAATTGATACCAGCCACTGCTCTGAGACAGGATGGCCCAGTTAAGTACAGGCAACTCTTGTTTCTCTGAACAAATCAAACTTTCACAAATTCCCAACCTCTCCCCCCCTTTTTTTTTCGGCACCACTGGGTATCAAACTCAGGGATTTGAGCATGCTAGGCAAACACTTAACCACTGAGCTACATCCCCAGCCCTCCAAATTCCCATTCTGCAATTGCTATGGCAATCAATATTCTCTCAAGGATTTAAAGGATAGTTTCAGTATCTCGAGTTTAAGACACCTTTGAGTTTGTTTTTCACGTACATATGCAAATAAATCCTGAAAACTGACAAGTGGACACCTGTCACTACTCTGAGGAAGACAACCAAAGGCAACTTCCGAGAGGCTTGATGGGGCCAGGCTGGGTCACCAGATTTCGTGGTGACCCGCATAAGGTTAGTGCAAGTCCACCACCACCGCTTCCAGCAGCCCTCTTTAAAAGGAAACTGCCAGTGCTTGGGACCACCGTCCTGGACCCCAACGCCACTTTGGAGCCAATCCTCAACTCCGGTCTACCTGTTCCCGGACGCACGGCAGAGCCAGCGCCACTACCCCCTCCTCCCCTAAGTGGGGGCGGGGTGGAGAGCGATCCTCCGCCGCGCAGGCGCACTGAGAGAGGAGGCGGGGCTAGGGGCGGGGCGAGCCGGCGCCCGCGGCTGCGCATTCGTCTGCTCCGGCCCGCCCACTTCCGGCGCCGCGGCTCTTCCGGGCACAAACAGCGGAGTTTGGCGTTGGAGTCGGGGCGAGCCGGAGGCACTGACCATCGAGCAGCCATGGCGCCGGGTGGGACCCGCGGGCCGACGCCGTGCTGGGCTCTGCTCCTCGGCGGCGCCGCGTTGCTCCTGCTGTTCATTATGGACACCGCTGCCCAGGAGCCTTCCGGAGTGGGTGAGGCCCGGAGGGCGGGGGTCGGGATCACGGCTCGGACTCCGGGGCGGCTGGGGGCGCGCGGTCACAAGCGGCGCCCCGTTGGGAACCCCGGGGGTCGCGCAGACCCAGGACGGCGGGTCGGTGGGCGGAGGGAAGGACGGGTGGCCCTCTGTCCAGCTGCTGCGGCGGCCCCGCCTCCACTTGGCACTGTGGTCTCCTTGGCCTCGGGGGTGGTGTGGGGGCCCAGGCCCCGCGAGGGGGCGAGCGCCGCTGGCGTGGCTGTGCGTGCGCCAGCGTCCACGAGGGCAGCGGAACACTGGGCGTTACCTTACGCCTTCAGGCACCGGAGAAAGGCTGTATCAGAGCCGATGTCGGAGCATTTGCTTTGAAGCAAGCTGATTCCCGGTTGTCCACGCTGCAGGCCTGGGTGGGCAGGCTGCACGTGTGTCTGTGCCAGATGCTGGGGCCCACTGGTGGCCCCCAGAGTTCCTGGGGACACTGACCAAGAAATAGGCATAACTACCTAATGGGTGCGGATGAGGGTGAGTCTTGGGGAGCAAAGTGTATGACCTGAGCCCACAGAATTTACAAGGGTGGCCGGACGGTGGCTTCCTGGAGGGCTGAGCCTGCCAGGCTGTCTCCAAGCTCTAAGCGGGGAGGGTCTAGTTGGACCTGGTTCAGAAATGTCCCTCATGTTTGTGTGTCGTACCCAGGTGGTCACTCCCAAGGGTAATAGAACCACAGGCAGCCCATGACTTGTTTCATGACCACCCGTGATTTTCTTTAACTCATGTTAGGCCGGGTGCTGTCCAGTTCTCTTTCACTCTAGGCTAACTGGGTGCTTTTTTTCTTTGTGACCTTTTTGAGTGTTGTTCAAGCCCAGGATTGTTTAGGTTTTTATCTGCTTCCAGCTGTGCTTAGTGTCTGTGACCTTCCCAATGCAGCTGTCTTGGAGTGTGTTCCTGAAGTTGCTGACTAGCACTGGGCAGGGAATTGGGGGCTTAAACTGAGTTCTAAGCACACATGCACAAAGAATACTTTTCACCAAACAGAATGGTGTTCAGGAGAGTTTGAGGGCACAAGATGCTTTATCAGTGGCTCAGGGGTGTGTTTGCTTACGTTGTTGGAGTACGCGTGTGAGGAGAGCAGCCAAGAAGTTGGCTGGAGCTCTTTCCGTTCTTCCTTCTGGACTTCTGAAGGGCAGTCGGAGAAGTCATCTAGAAGTGTCCTTCTGGTGTGTCCCTCTCAAAGTGGTGCCTGCACTCCTAGGTGGGTGGACTCTTCATTGGGACACCTTGAAAGGAGGCATTAGTGTCATGCCTGTGCAGTTGCTCAGGTGCCCTTGGGATCTGTGTCGGCTTGTCACTGGAGAGGGACACTGCTGACAGCACTGACGCCATGCCCCCGCCCCCACACACACACAAGGTGAGATTTCTACTAGCTTTTGTTTGTAGGAATGTGGCTACTGATGTTTAAAACTTTTTTTTCTTTTGTTTGTGGTACTGGGATTTGAACTTAGGGCCTATACCTTGAGCCGCTCCATCAGTCCTTTTCTGTGTTGGGTATTTTCGAGATAGGGTCTCTTGAACTGTTTACCCCCAGGCTCATCTCGAACTGCAACCCTCCTGATCTCTGCCTCCTGAGTAGTTAGAATTACAGGTGTGAGCCACCAGGACCCAGCTAAAACATTTAATCTTTACAAAGATACTACATAAATTTAAAGAGTATATCACACCAGTCCAAAACACATAGTTTGTACTATTTTGTGTGCTTTGTTGGAGAGCAGATGTTAGGAACCTGTAATGTACTAAAGATCTTTAAGATATAATTGATGGAATTCATTAAAGAAACCTTGATGAAGCTTTTGGGCTCCTCGTTAATGGTGTATGGAGTCTGACTTTATCCATGAGCTTCATCTGGGTGAAGGCAGTCTCCCTAAAAGGACCTCAGCTGTGGTCCTCCCCAGGAATCCTAAGGAGCACAGTGGTGGCCGGTGCAAGTCACCCGGGTGGTGGGTCCTTTATACTGCAACTTGGTTTGGAAATGAATCTGTAGTTCTCTTGCCCCTTCACTGAGAAACGTTCTAAGTGAGTTGCACAGAATACTACGATACATACGGTGGTTTTTGTTTGTTTTGTTTTTTTGTCAGTATTGGGGTTTGAACTCAGGGCCTCACACTTGCTAGGCACGTGCTCTACTCTGCTAGCCCTCGGTGCCTGGTTTTGATACACGGTGCCACTTCTCTCCTTATTTTCTCTGATAACAGTGGAGTAACCAGGACTTCTTTGTCTATGTGAAATCTTTCCTCACCTGAAACTGATGGTGTAGGTACTTGCCAAACCTGTCACCACAGAGTATACACAAAGCCCATACAGTTGTGTTCTACTGTTTAAAGGCACAGCAGATGTCCCTCTGAAGCCTGCTGCGTGACAAAGGCATGATAAGTAGCATTCACTTGTTCCTTTATTTTTGAGAAGGAAGTATCTCTCTTCACATAGTAGTATATCCTTTTTGTACTTAATGAATGAATTGATCTGAAACTTGGAAAGCACTCGAAAGTAAGTTATATGGTTTGTAATATCCTGACAGAAGAACTCTTTTCTTTTTTTGATTTGTAAAGGGAATGACTCTGAAAGTTCTTTAAAAATCAGTAACTGTGGGGCTTGTGGAATGGCTCAAGTGGTATAGCGCCTGCCTAGCAAGTGTGAGGCCCTGAGTTCAAACCCCACGTACCACAAAAAGAATAGTAAACTCAAAAAAAAAAAAAATCAGTAACTAGTCACAAAAACCAATTTTGAGAAAAAAAAATTTTTTTTTAAATCAGTAACTGGAATGTAAGCTGAGGCCTTCAAGTCATCAGACCTCAGAGCCAGGGCATCCACATCAGCACTGTACTTGGGAAATGCAGGGGTGTTTCTTCTTAGCTCCAGCACCTGGTTTTCTTTGTCCTGTGATGAGGCAAGACGTCTAGTCTGTGGCCTCTGAGAAATGCACACTGCCTTTCTGTGGAGCAGTAGCCCGTGGTCAGTGCATTTCCTTCTTACCATGCAAGGTTGTGTGGTGTTTTCCATGAGAGAATAGAACAAAGGTTCCCAGGCTTTGGAGTTATTTTAATGAGAAATGCCCGACACTGTTTCCTGGTATTGAGGACCCACCCTGTTCTTGGTCTGCAGAGGAAGAAGAGGAGGGTGGCTGGGCAGTTCGCCTGCCCCTTCCTCCTAGCCTCTTGTTGGCTCATGCTGGCCAGTAATCCAGAGGCCAGGGGATAGATGGAATTTAGGGCGTGTATCTTCGAGTGCAATTCTTCCAATTCACACAAGAGCATTTATGAGAACAGACATCCCGTGAAGGAGGTCCTGTACCTCATCCTCACTGTTCCCATGGCCGCTCTGTGAGACTGATGAGAAAGATGGCACCCTTTTCTGAAGATGACTTTTGAAAAGGGGCTGGAGAGGGTGTGATAGATACATATTGTGCTTCCCTCCCAACGTGAGGAGAAAGATCTCAGCGCAGGAAAGAGGAGGGGACAGTTAGTGAACCCCAAAGGCTCAATGCTTGCTATGCCACTCCCTCTGTATCTGCTTGTTGGTGTCTTTGTAGTTACCATAAAATAGCCAGATGTTATTTTTTTAATTTTATTTTTTTAGAAATGACCCAAACATTGTATTTTTTTTTTATTTTAATCAGAAATTGATAAGTTGTAGTTTTATGGCATGTTATTTTGACTAAACCATGAGAGTTAGTTGCTGAGGTTTTCTTTTAGAAGGTTAATTCCTAAGAAGGAGGATTTTCTTCTGCACAGCTCAACATTCTTATCATAATCTGGCATCTAGCATTGATACGTGTTTGAGAGCTTCATGTAATGCACAGCCCCTGCGCTACCAGGTACCCCACTTTTGACATCCAGACCACAAGATGCATTGATCTGGAATAGCTCCTCAGTCCATCTTTGTTCTCAGAAGGCCAGTCTGTGTGAGGACCCACTGCTTTTGTCCTTTCTAGGCCCTTTGTGTGGACAGAGCTGGAGTCAGTTTCTGAATTGAGTTGGTAATGGCACTTGAGTGAGCCCCAGCACCACAGGGACTCAGGTGTTAGCTCAGGTCTGCCTTAAATTAGGAGGGTGAGGAGCAAAGTAGGAACAATCATGCAGTGTGTGCTCGTGTCCCCGCCACTTAGGTTATGTGTGTCACCATGTTTTTGTTGTTGTTGTTACGTCTGTCCAGGTATCCAGCCATAGAATTCCATGAGTGCGCATGCAGGTCAGTGGAGACGTCCACGAACTCCCTCCTACAGCACTGTGCCTGTCATAAACCAGAGTCCAAGGTTTTGTTTTTCTTTTGAGAGGAGTTTTTCCTATCATCAAATGCAGAAAACTTATGCTTGCCTTGGAAGAGTTGTCGTTGTGTAACAGTGGAACCCAAACACCTGTCCAGAGGCAGTCCACAGCACTCAGCTCTCCTCCAGTCTCCCCAGCACGATGGAGCACGATGGTTCTTACCCTTCGTGGATGACTGTCCTTTGTGTGGACTGCTTGGCCTTGGAGTCACTGAGTGTGGTCTTGGCATAAGGCTTCTTTCAGGTCACATGATGTTTTCAGATTCATTTATTTTACCTTACTCTTTTTGACTGAATAGTGTTGTGCTATGTGGATGTTCTAGTCTGTCTGTCCATCTTCCTACAGGGAAACATCTGGGTTGTTTCCAGTTACAAATACAATTGGAATTAGCGTGCCCGCCCTGGTGTTCTGTGGATTTATCTTCTAACTTCTCTTCTGAGTCTTACCGAGTCTCAGAGTGGGCACATACCTTGTTTTTGAGCAACTCTAGCCATTTTTGAAAGTGGTTGAGGCAGTTACACCCCTGCTAACACTGCCTGAGTGTTCCCATTGCTGTGCATCCTTGCCAGCATTCGGTATTTCCATCTCTTTCATGTTAGCTATTCTACATCTCATTGCAGCTTTAATTTGCATCTCCCTGGTGACTAATGATGTTGAGTACAGAACTCTTTTCAAAGTATGTTTGTTTTAAAGGATGGTTGGGAGAAGCTGCCAGCAGCTGCTGGATAGCATTTGAGAACTTCTTGATTCTCTTACCAGTTCTTTACTTCTGATTTGTTTGTGTTCCCAAGCTGTTTGGAGTTTGACCCTTTCCTGTAGCAAGAGTGCTATAAGTAGTGGACTGGTTCTCAAGTGCTCCATTTGGCTGTAATAGGCTGATACCGCCTTGCTTCTCCCTTGGGTTTGGGGAGCACTGCCCCAAACCTGGGGGAGGCTGGCCACGGGCCCATGAGAATTCGAGGGAAGTCTATAAACACAGCCATGCTTCTGGGTAGTGTCAGTGGCATTGCTCTGGCCTCTGATTCCCAGGAAAAGTGTGCTGCTTGGGGTCAGTGGTTAGTGGCTGTGTAGCCATGTGATATACCTCTTCTAAAGGAGAGGTATAAGACACAACTATTGTGTTTGGTATCTTCCTTCCCTGAGGACATAGTGTAGACTGGCTCTTCCTTCCGTGTGCCCAGCATGGGAGTCAGTTGACTAAGTACCTTGAGGCAGGCTGGTTCCAGGACAGTTGGAGATTCCAGGCAGAGGTTTACAGTGCCTGTCCCATCCCATTCCCCATTGCCTCTGAGCACCTCATTGATTGTGTGCCCTCAGTGATGCCTTTGTCTTTTCTGGTCTTTCCTGGCAGGTTGTTCTGAGAACACAAATAGATCCTGTGAAGAGTGCCTGAAGAACGTCTCCGTAAGTAGTGTTGCTCACTTCCTCCAAGTCCAAGGAGGCCCTTGGATGTTGGAAGGGTGCTGTTGTTTGAGATCATGGGGTATCCTTTATGACAGTTATTAAATATGATTCCGGCCTCTGACATATTAAACCTTCTCATGAAAACTGCCAATACCCCAAGCACAGTTGCTGTCCGTGCCTTCACTCCTGCTGCAGGTGGTCTAGGAAGATGTCAGGGCTGGCTGGGAAGCATCAGGTGTGCTGGCCTTAGGTGCAAGCCCTAGACTGAGCATCTAATCTACTACTGCTCGTCTGTAACCAGGCCTTTCCTATCGGGTCACTAGACTTTAGGTCCATCTTACAGAAGGATGGAGGTGTGCCAGTGAACAGGGTGGGGGATCGGAGCCCTTCCTGCCATCGTGTACAGGTTGCAGGGTCAGCTTCCCTAATGGAGCTCCCATCAAGAGAAACCTGGTTATCAGTGAGCCCTGGACCACAGCTATGCAGTGATACCCATGCTTTCCTTGTGGTGGTTAGGGCTGGTAGGGAGGCTTCCTTCAGCTTCTCACACAAGAACGAGGTAGGGACCTGGGAAGGAGGCCACTGCAGGTCAGCAGGAGACTCTGCAGCCATCTGGTCACTGGAAAGACTTGGCCACTGTGTTTAGATTTTGTTCTCAGTTCCTTTATTTCCCTGTGCGCCCTTGAGCAAGAGGGTAGCTCCTCTACTCTTATGTAGGAGGTGGGCCTGGCATGAGATCATCAGGGCTTCTAGATGGATCACCGTGGGATCTGACGGAAATAGTACTCAGCTCTCCGCTCTGGAGAAGCAGGGACCAACAATGGGGAAATACACCCCAACATAGATCTCATGAAGCTGTAGTGTGAGCACGTGCTTTGTTCAGGGACTCTGGGCTTTTTCATTGCAGTGGCCTATCCCTTGGCTAGCCCCAGGAGCTCCTCTCAGTGTCTGTGCCTAGCTGAGGGGCTCTTGGCTGGCCTTGTGTAGCTCAGAGTTATGTAGTTTGTTGGGAAGCCCAAGGGTGGACTAGCAATGAGGGTGGCAGTTGGGTCAGAAAATAGCCTTTTCCTAAGACTTCAAGAAGGAAGACCATCTCCTTCCCTTCCCATCAGGTTTCACAGGGCTCTCAGGACTGTAGAGCCAGGTGCCATACCCCGACCATGGGTAATGATGAGAAGGTGTGTCTTGGTTTCCACTCTTGAGATATTGGCTGGCCACATTTAAAAAAACAACAACAACAAACTGCTCTTGCTCCCTGAGGCAGTAGTGCAGGTCTGAGACATATCTCATCACTTCAGGGACTTCAGTGGATGATGGCATTTGCTGACTGAAGTGGAAAGCTTCCCCTACAGCCTGTTTTGACATTGGTAGTGTCAAAACCGGCTTCAGTAGTTGTGGTCCTCAGAGTGGTGTTTTTCTGACTGTTTTCTTTTTAGGCTCTGGATTTTCTTATTGGAAGTCATTCAGCCCTAAGAATAGTTCACTATTGTACACATTGCCTTGGGATGGGCCGTGCTCAGGTCATAGGGTAGGGCCAGTCCAGAAGAGCCCGAGGCCTGCCCCCACTCTGAACCAAGGTGGAGTTAGTGGGAAGGAAATCTAGCCCCAGCCCTGCAGGGCCTGTCTGGAGTATACAGGTTTCTAGAAGATGGGCGAGTACCTGAAGGCCCTGGAAGGACTGAGAAGAATAGAGAAGGGGGACGAGGCTGCAGCCCCCGGTGCTGCTGAGTTGCTCTCCCTGTGCCTGACAGGATGTGCTGGCTTACCTTTGTAATTCCACCTGCTCAAGAAGTGGAGATTGGGAGAGTCATAGTTTAAGGCCAGCTTGATAAAAAAGTTAACTAGACCACTTCTCAACAAACAAGGGCTGATGGAGTGGCTCAAGTGGTAAAGTGCCTGCCTAGAAAGCATGGGTCCCTGAATTCAAACTCCAGTACCACCAGAAGCGTGGTCGCGGCTGGGTAGAAGCTGTTGGTTACAGGTGCCTTGTTATGTGAGACAACAGGGTCTCACAGGACCCCTGGCCACTGTGTGTGCCCTTGAAGGGCAGCAAGGGTGTGAAAGGCCGTTACAGTCATGCAGGGAGAGGTAGTGGTGTGGTGAGCTATAAAGGGAGGCTGGGTCTGAGACAGTCTGCTGCTGGCTCTTCACATTGTCTCCTAACGACACTCTCTTTCAGTGTCTGTGGTGCAACACTAACAATGCATGTTTGGACTACCCAGTCAGAAAAATCTTGCCACCAGGGTCTCTTTGTAAGTTGAGTTCTGCACGCTGGGGCGTTTGCTGGGGTAAGTTGTTTTCAATTACTTCTTGCAAAATCAGTGGTTTCTTGAAAATTCTAGTATATGATCAGTCAACGGAAGTTGTTGGGAATGAGGCTGCCATAGTCCTGAGGCATCCTAGCGAGAAAATGTCAGGAAGCCAATGGTGGTGTGGGACCTGGGCAAGAAGCTGGGTCCCCGGGGATCTGGAGGACTCCTTTGAGGTTATTGGCCTGGTCATTGGTGCTGGACACTCCACATCCTGGGAGGGGTGTGGGAAGAGGAAGTTGGAAACACATTTTGCCTTCTCTGTGCATGATGTATCAGGTGTTCCTGTGCCACCCTTGGAAGTTCACGTGTGGCTTCCTGCAGCCCTGTTGCCTGGGCATGGGGTCTCAGCACCTGTGTGCATGCAGTCTCTTTCACAGGTGTTCTTTGGAGAGAGAACTCACCCTTTGTGGGATTTAATTTGTTTCCTAACTTGTCTTTTAAATGAATTAGTGGTGTGTCTTTCTACCTATAACTCATTTTTTTGAATTTGTTAATCTGTTTTCAAAAGTTTCAGGTTTTGGGGTCACACAGGCCTTCTTCACCTCCATGAAGAAGCTTAGAAAACTTTTGAGGATTTCCTTTTGTGTTTGCATTTTTTATCTCTCTGTACCTTACTCCTTACTTAGCTGTCCTCTTTCTACCTGACTTCTATCTCAAAATCCCATCGGCTTCTATCTGAAACATGTGTCTCTAGTGTCAGGGCCCCAGGAAATCCAGAAGTTTGTGGTGGTGGTGGTGGAGGGGGGTGATTCTGGGTGTGTGTTTTCACACAGAAAGTCTTCCTGAGGTTTCGGCACCATTGCTGCTGTCCTCTTCCTGGAGCCCTTCCTTCCCAACTGGGAACCCTAGCCTTGAACCCTGGCTACCACCAAGCTGTTCCACATTGGTGTGTAACCTCAGTGCAGGGCACTCATCTTGAGGTTCCTCTCTGGACTGTGGCTCACTGTGCAACACATACATGTGTGGACATGTTCAGTGACTTTCCATGCATATGCAGGTTTCCCCACTCAGCACAATATGTAGGACATTTCCAGCACTTCCAGAAGGCCCCATTGTGTAAGGACCTGTGGGTGACCTCACATCAGCACAGGTCAGTGCTCTTGTTCCTGACCTTCACAGAAGGGAAGCACACACTGTATTGTTTTATCTGCCTCTTCATTCTCCATGGCTCTTCAGCCTAAGTAGGTCTGCCTTACATATTGTAGGCATGGCCTTACCTATTTGTGCCCCTCCAACAAACAATGTGGGACGTCTAGTTGCTTCAGATCCCTGTCATCGTTGAGCGCAATCTGTCATGTTAATTTTGGTCCACTGGTAGCTGTGTAGTGCTGTCTCACTGCGGTGTTGATTGCCATTTTTCTGACATTGAGTACCTTTTTAGATGGTGAGTATTTTTCTCTTGAGAAATGAAATTCTAACCCCAGTTACAGGGATAGTGAACACTTGTCCCAGCCCTGGGCAGATGAGAGTCACAGCAGCTCATTACTCATGTGTAGTTCACACATTTCCAGGAGCTCTGGGAAACAAGCAGCTTTGTAGTGACGAGGGTGAGGCGCCTGGATTCCCACAGGGGCGTATGATTGTCTTGGTGACTCTTCGGGCTAAGAGGGAACTGAGACCTGCTACTGCGGTTGACCCTGCACTGTGCCTGGTCCCATGATAAGAATGTTATTTGACAGGTCCTTATCGGGAATAGGAGTGGGGCCTGTGATTTCAAGAGGTCCAGGAGGCCTGGAATTCTAACTTTGGGCCTATGCCACGGTGCTTACCGACACTTACAACTTTACAATCTTTTTGCCCCTCTAGGGGTTTAATGTAGTGGCTTTAAGTGCGTGCATTCATTTGGAGCAAAAAGATCTGCACAGCTCTGGCCTCCTGTCCTAAAGGAAGGTGTCATCCCTTCCTTTGGGTCCTCTTTTGCACCTTTGGGTAGAAGCTCATGGGTTTTGCCCTATAGGATGAACATAAAGCAGTCCGCATATTTGTTGCCCATTGTATCAAAATTTCTGTTTTTATTTACAACTTCTGTTAGCTACTTTCAGAAAATCTGTTTGGGGGTAGGTAGGTTTTAGAGACAGCTATGTTACTGCTCTTGTTTAAAAATTACAAGAAAAATTACATCACCTACTGGTGAAAGTCTTCTTTCTAATCATGCACATGACTACTATTTTTTGTAATTCTACACTTCCATATTAGGAGGACAGAACATTTGGTTAAATTCTCAAAGGCGTTTGAGCAGATGTGACACCCATTTCTGGTTTTAAGCTAAAAAGGAGTCTGGTACATGAGTAGCCCACAAGAAATGTATTCAGAGTCCACCAGGAGGGGACTCTGCTTCCACCTCCTGCTTGCCATGGTTCACACACTCAGCAGAGCATTCACCTCCCCAAATCGCCAGAACCAGCAGCTTAGAGATAAACAGCTCCATGTGGTGGCAGTTTTTAACTTTGTTTAACAAAAACTCGAGTTGTATGGCAGCCCTGCTGCCCTGGGTGTTTGCTCTTGAAGAGGACTGGAGCACATTTGCAAGAGCTGTAGAGCTGCTCTTGATCTTTGACTGGCTTGGGGTTGAATTGAGTAGAATGATCTTGACTGGTTGTAATATGAAGATCTTAATATCAGAAGCTGAAAGGAACCATCAGAGTTATTAGTAAGTTTGTATCTGTCTCAAAGTTGGCTCTAACAGGAAGTGACACCAGTGAGGAGCACTGATGAGTCAACCCTTTTCTAAACCCAGGGTATCCATAATACCCAGATGTGCCTGGGGCTTGGGCTGGGTCCTTCCTCTTTGGTCTGTATCAGTGTGCCCTGAAAGAAGTTTGTAATATTCTTGACTTTGACCAGGATGCTTAACCTCCATTTGTATGAGTTCCACTAAATTAAAAGTTCAGATTGTCTAGGAAAGTCTGAACAGATTGTGTTTTTTTTTTTTTTTTGTGGACTGTGGCTTGAACTCAGAACCTATACCCTGAGCCACTCCACCAGCCCTTTTTTATGGTGGGTTTTTTTGAGATAGGGTCTTGTGAACTGTCTGCTTGGACTGGCTTTGAGCCGCGATCCTTCTGATATCTGCCTCCTGAGTACTTAAGGGTACAGCTGTGAGCCACAGCGTCTGGCAGATTGTGTTCTTTTTCTTTCTGGTTTCTGTTAACCTTCCTCAGCTGTTTCCTTGGGAAATAGCTTTCAGTCTCAGGTAGAAAGTGCTGTCCTGACAACTCTTCAATTCACTGTGGCTAATCTACGAATTGTAAGTCACAAACAGTGGCTGAAGGAAGCTCACAGCCACCACCATGCCGAGCCCGTGGATCTGCAGCCTGGTGAATGTGGAACTCTGGGCCCAGTGTTCCGTGATGGCTGGCTGTGTCAAGGAGAGGTGCTTTTGGAGGTAGATGCCAGGCTTGCTGTGGTTCTAACTCTGCATATCTGGACTTCCAGTGAACTTTGAGGCCCTGATTATTGCCATGTCGGTGCTGGGGGGCGCCGTCCTCCTGGGTATTGCAGTCTGCTGCTGCTGCTGCTGCTGCAGGACCAAGAGGGGCCGGAAACCAGACAAGAGCGACGAGCGGGCCATGAGAGAGCAAGAGGAGAGGAGGATCCGACAGGAGGAGAGGTGAGTCTCAGCCATCCCGTCTGGAGGAGCTCAGATGGAAAGGCCGTGGTAAAGGAACGAAACTTGCGGGAGCCTTGCAGGTAGCTCTAGCCTGTTGTCACAGACCTCTGGCTGCCTGGGCTGTTTCTCCTCTGGTTAAGGGGGGGTGGCAGTTGCCACTACCTCCTGGCAGGGACTCTGTTTATGATCTAAGGCTGCCCATCCAACTGCCCAGGTGACCAGGGCTTTGAGTATTGTTAGCCCAGCCCGTCCTCTTAGGATGAGCACTGCGGCTCAGGCTCGGGGGGTGTGGGGTCCAGTCACCCTGTCACTATTACAGAGGCTCTGAGGACGCTGTCCCCTCCTGATGTGTGTTGGGGCCTGCTGCAGCCCTGGAAGGTGGGTGAGAGGTCATACCATCCCAGGCTGGGAGACTTTCCTAACCATCCTCAAAACCTGCCATGAGGTTTCTACTTACCAGTGCATTTTCTTTATATGAAAAGAAGTTTGTATAGTTTATAATGTTGGGCATCTGAGTTTTTTCTTTGTTTTCGAGATAGGTCCTTGACATCTCCATCCTTCTGCCTCAGCCTCCTGAGTGCTAGGATTGCAAGCATGTGCCACCATGTCCAGCCTAAGCTGGTTTACTGAAAACAATAGAATGGTTCGTTGGAGCAGCCTCAGGAGGCTGACTTTGCCATCTTTTGCTGGCCCTAGGGGGAATGTGGCTTGATGGCCAAGCACATCCCCACTTTCCTTTGAGAAGCTAAAGAAAAGCCATTGCAGGAACCACAGCCTCTGCTGGAGGAAAACAGAAGGCCCCATCTTTTCTAAATGACCCTTGTGTGTTGTAGCTTGATGCTACTTGATATTTCTTTGTTTTTTAGGAGAGCAGAGATGAAATCAAGACATGATGAAATCAGAAAAAAATATGGTAAGAATTGATTGTGTCCTTTGGACTGGTTGGGAGTGATGCCTAGGGGACAGGACTGTTGGCTCTGGGCTGTGGCTGCTTCTGTGTGGGCTCTCCCTCCACTGAGGACAGCAGCTGGCTACTGCTCCAGGGTGCAGAAGTAGACTTGTGATTCCACCAGCCTCTCAAAAGAGGAAGCCGCGCAGGCTTTTATCCCAGACTTCTTTGTCTTGGGTACTTGTTAGCATAAGAGAAGTGTGGAGACTTCCAGAGGGGCCATCGTAGCTGTTCTGGCATCCTTGTTGTCCAATAGGGTGTGCCGTGTAAGCTCAGTTCTTCAAGTTCCTGGCCTTGCTGGGTGGCCCTTCATCCTCGTGTGCACATGTGCGTGTGTGAGTGTGCGCGCGTGTGCATGTGTGTGGGTGCGTGAGTGTGCGTGTGCGTGAGTGTGCATGCGTGTGGGTGCGTGAGTGTGTGTGTTACATGTTTGGTTTGGAATGACTGGGGTGACTCTGAAAGAGCCAGAGTAGTGAACAAGTGTGCTAGTCAAGTGCAAACCTTTTATTCAGTTGGAATTAAAATCCAGCACTCCCCTAAACTGATGATAGTGACTAAACATGACACTCCCACCATCTGCTCCTGCGTTGAGTTGGTTCTGAGCCCCTTTAAAGCTGTGAAGAACAGTAGAGTTTTCTGCACTGGATTTTGTGGTCGCATAGTGTTTGGAGCACAGTAGAAGCTGACCCCTTCACCTGCCTGGACACAAGCATTTAGGCCCAGGGGATGGCTCCAGCTGTGAGCCCATTGTACTGGCCTTAAAGACAAAATTTCGTGAGGAAAATTTCAGAATCTTGCTCAACAAATGTATTTTGTTTTTTCAACAAGTGCATTTCTGATGCCTCTATTTGTATAAGGAAATGCTCCATTTTAGTCCCATTTCTTTAGGACCTTACCCACTAGGGGCATGATTACATCACTGTGTGCCTTAGTTTTTTGCTGCTGTGACAAAATACCTGAGATAAACTTAAGGAAGGAAAGGTTTATTCTGGCCCCCAGTTTCAGAGGATTCAGCCCATGGTCACTGGCTCCGTTGCTCGTGGCAAAGAATATGATGGCAGGAGAGTGTGGTGCTCACTTCCCAACAGCCAGGAAGCAGGAAGAGAGGAAGGGACAAGATATCCCCATGAAGGGCACACTTCTGCTGACCTACTTCCTCCAACCAGGCCGTTTTCTTAGTTCCACCTCCCAATAACTCCATCAGAATATGAACCCATCAATGGATTAACCCATCGATGAGGTCAGAGCCACCTCTGAACATTGCATTGGGGACCAAACCCTCAGTGATGAATTTTGGGGGATGTTTCATATCAGACCACAGCACTTGGTTGGTCTCAGCCACCAGGTGAGGTGTAGCTCTCACACAGTGTGGCTCTTACAGGTTCGAGTTGCTGAAATAGTCTACAGCCCTTCAGAGATGTACATGCCCCGTTGCTGCTGGGGTAGAGGCTTTGCTTGCTGGTAGACTCTGCCACTGGCCAGGAGGTCTCTCCTTACCTGGGCAGGCCCCTCGAAAGTCACACTGTATGCTGGGAACTGAGAATGGACCCTGCGGCCCTGGAGGGTGGCTTCAGGCTGAGGCTGCCCCTTTGGTCCTTGGCCACCACTCTCTCTCCCTCCAAGGCGAGCTGTCCAGCAGCTGATAGACTGCCTTCTCTGGTGGCCCTGCTGCAGTCTCCTCTGCACTGTGGCTGCCTTGGCTTTGGGGCTTTTCTGACATTGTGCTCCTGCACTTGACCCTGCTTGTCTCCTGGCTGGTCTCATCTCCGCTCCTCCCTGCAGTGCTAGCCTGGTGTCTCGTCATTTCCTTGTCCCTTGGTATTCCCAGGACTCCAGGTGTGATGTGGGTGAGTGTGACAACTTGGCTTCCAGGGCGGGATTTGTTTATGCAGCAGTTGGTATGGTGTCATCCTCCCTTGTGGTGAGTGCATGCTTGTCTGTACAGCCTGTGAGGGAGCAGTGTGCTTTCTGTGAAGCTAAAAAGAGTCCCAGGGAGCTTTTGACATTGGCTACACCAATATGAGTAAAACAGAAGGTGAATGGTATGCCCACACGGTACAAAGCGCCTGCTCTGTCATCCCCAGACACAAGTACAGGTGTGTGATACTCCTCGACTTGCGCTTTGCGCTGATCTTTAGAGTGGGCAGGGGCCAGCTGTGACTTGGCAGAGCCAGTGTCTTCAGTGTCCTTGTTCTGATTCACCTGCTCGTGCTGTTGCCTGACTAACTTGCTCCCTAATTGTGCTGATGAGAACAACTGTGTTTGCAGGGGGAGGGCCTCACTGTGTAGCCCAGGCTGTCCTTCAGCTCGTGATCCTTCTGCCTCAGTTGTCCAAGTTCTGGAACTATAGTGTATACTCCCACACTGACCGAATCAACGTTTTTTGTTGTTTGTTTTTTGAGCTAGGATAGCGTATGCTGTCCTCCCACCTCAGCCTCCTGAGTGCTAGGATTACAGGCATGTGCCACCACACCCAGCGTGACACCATTGTTACCAGCTTAGTAAAGGCCATCGAATGGCCCTCACTCTGGAAAGCCATGGCTGTGTGGACAAGTCCCAGAAGTACCTGGTGGGAGAAGGCATGTGGCTTAGCCTAGTCCACCTATCAGAAACCACAGTCCAAATGCTGCTTTGTTTCAGAAGGTGTTTGACTTCCTTACCACAGAACAGTTTGTCTGTTTCCCCTCCATACCATAATGGCTAGAGCCTTGGCAAGCCTGCTCACCTGTCCATCTGGTGTCTGTCATCTCCCAGAGTGTGATCACTGTGCTCTGACAGTCAAGAGACACAGGACCAGGCCCACACTGTCCACTCCCCTGTTGCTGCCCCTTGCCCACAGGAAAAGTGCAGCAGTGTAGTTGCGCTGGCTCCACGTAACTTTGTCCTGCTTATGTGTATGTGGGGTGTGGGTGTGGGGGGTGTGTGGAGGTGTAGGGGGGATGTGGGTGTGTGTAGCTGTAGTGTGTAGGTGTGTGTGTGTGTGTGTGTATAGGGAGGGAAGTTGTACAATGTCAGGAGTATCCTAGGCCATGGTGAGTACCACAGATTCATTCTTATGGTTAGATATCTTATCCCAGGTACACCATAATACTTGAGATTCAAATAGATGCTTTTAGTTCTTTTTATAGCCTTAATTTTAAAAGTTCAGCAACAAGTCTGATGTTCAGCGTAAGGAGGTGGTGTTTTTGTCTTTGTCTTTCTGTGTAATTTCTAGCCCACCACTGTAACTAGAAACTTTTCTGACTTCTCATGAGCATCAGAACCATGTCTTTGCTTTTAGGACCTATTGGAATTATTTCTGCTAAATTTTATTTCATGTGTTCGGGGTTTGAGTTGGCTTTGGTTTCTTGAGGCAGGGTCTTGCCATATAACCCCACCTTGACCTTACCATGTTTTGCCTCCGCCTCTAAAGCTGGGTTTGCAGGCATGTGCCACCAGCCCCGCTGATTTCAGTCTTAAATCACCTGTGGTTTGACTGCAGCAAGGTCAAGCTTAGATAGTATTTGAACCTGTTGAGAGCCCAGTTTCTCACAGGCTCAGTGATCTTCATATAAAATTAGCCGACTCCAAAAAAAAAAAATTGGGGCGGAGGGCATGGGGAAGAAATGACCCAAACAGTGTATGCACACGTGAATAAATGAATAATTTTTTAAAAATTAGTCGACTCACAGCTGGTAGATTTTGTTTCCAGTTGAGTAAGTGAATTTATAATTCAAGTTCTTTTTTTCTAGGTTTGTTTAAAGAACAAAACCCATATGCGAAGTTTTGAAGCAGCCAGCACACACTTCCTTCAGATCCAGCAAAAGCTTCCTGGGACACAGGCTCCTCCCAGGGAGTCACGCCACTACAGCTGGTCCTGACCTGAGTGGGTGTGCCGGCCAGCCTCGGCACAGGCAGTGGGAGCTGCCCCGAAAGGACAATCCTGCTCTGTCCTGCAAGCTGTGACCTTGTGTTCCCTTATCTCTGTTTCTGTATCTAATCACTTGAAACATTAATCTTGTTGGTTTTTTATTATTATTTTTTCAGGAAGTGTACTTGTTCCCCCATTCTTCTCAGTTTGCAAGCTGATTACAACCCTGTGACCTGATGTGCACACGGCTGTGGTTCTTCCTCACAGCAGCAGAAATCCTGGCTTTCTGCACACCAGCTTCACGCTGTAGCAAGCGAAGGTCTTTGGCCTTGGGAAAACTGACCAGGCCTGTGTCTGTGTGCACATTTCTTTGAGGCTTCATATGTATAAATTGTGATGGCCTTTGTGAAAGTACAATGTCCTGCCCCACAATCTGACAAGGCCTTACTTCCCAGCCTGAGTGTACTGAATAGCACTGAAGAATAATTGAAGTTACCTTACAACTTCTTAACAAATAGTTCTTAGATTCCCCTAAAAAAGATTTCACCAAAAAAACTTCCACATACAAGTTCAGGCCCTTGCTAGGTGATAATTTTTATTTTATCTATATCTTTAATAGACAACACAACTGTTTCCCCATGGAACCTGACTGTAAACAAGGTTTAAGCATCTCTCTGAGAGCTGAGCCTGTCACTCAGGTGCCTGCCTTACTTCTCTCAGGCTGCATAGGTCTCAGACCCCTCCCTGCCCCAGGCTGTCGAGATGGTCAGTCATGTAGTGAGGTGGTGGGGGGGTGGGGGGGACAGGAATGCCCAGGGAGGATGAAGGGTCCATCCACATGGCCTTCCATGAGGCCAAGTATCCTGGAAGCAGGCATGTGGGCCCAGACAGACAGATCTGTGCATCCTGCCTGCCTCAGCAGACCACCCCACTCCAGCTGTGCTCTGCTTTGGCTGGGTCTTCCTCACCCAACTCTGGAGCTCACCAGTGGGACCCCAGATATCCTGATGCCGCCCACGCCGTGCATTTGCTTAAAATCAAGACGTGACCTTCGTAAGCAGACCGTGTGCTTGGTGTCAGGGAAGGCAGGGTACTGGGGAGTAATGGCCTGGAAGCTTCTCTTAAATTTGAAGATTTCAGGAAGTCCCATTTGACAGATTGCTTGGAACTGAAGAAGAAAAAAATTTTCTTGGGCTAAGGGTGTGACTCAGTGGTAGAGGCTTACCAAATTCATGAGGCCCTGATTCCAGCCCCAGTGCTAAAATGATGACATCCTCAGGAAAGTAGGCCAAGGGCACCATGAGCTGAGCAATGAGGCCCTCTGGCGGCCACTGCACTTCCTGTCCCTTAAGGAGTCACCCAGAGAAGCTAGGTGACCTCACCTGTGGGTGTTTGTACCAGGAGTTGACACTTCTACCCTCAGATTTTCACAAACTTGGGAAATGGAAATAGCTTGTAATAAGTTTATTCTTCTGACTTCTTGGGCATTTGATAGTTTAAAGTATTATAAAACATTCCTCTTTTATAGCAGCCATCAAGATTTGCCTTTCTACTGTTCATAAAAGAAACTTTCTGATAGACTTTAGTAAACTTTGTACTAATATGGTAGTATATATAAAATCACACTTTTTAAAAAAAAATTTAGGTTGCTGAGCTGAAAGAGTGACCAGTTGTTAAATACAGTGTATTTAATTCTCTCAAGCACTATAGAAACACGTCAGTGATCACAAGACTGGTCTTGGTCAGTATGCTTTTCTCTCAACTAGCATTACAGTCAAGACCATCAAACGCAGTGCCTTGCTTTTTAACCAGTTTCCAATAAAACGGTTTAATGTTGTCTTTGTTCACTTCCTCAGGGCTCCCTTTCTGGGCAGGGTCACTGGGTTGGCTGGGGTGGGCAGGCTTCCGCGCCCATCCTGTCTTGTGGGAGCCGCTCTGCACTAGACCTGGACACTGCAGCCCAAGGACTGAACCTGCGGTTGGGTTGGCCCTTAGTCGGGCCAGCATGGGAAGGTCCTGTCTTGTCACTGTCTCTGCTCTGGCCTGTCCCACCCAATGTTTTCCTTCTCCTTTGGTATTGGACACAACTCGGAGACCTGTCTCTGCAGCCTGTGCTTGGCTCCTATGTGCGGCGTGGCTGCAGACCAGTGCTAGTGCCTGTTCCTGTGCCTTCCCTCGTGGGAGCCACTGGGCTGGTCAGCCTTGTTTTCCAAGGACACAGCCTGGAAATCCCAGTGACATCCTCAGTTTAGGCTTTCAGATTCCTTCACACATGGGAAAGTGGTACAGAAAATAGTCTGTGGCCATCTAGAAAGATCTATTTAGACACTGCCTCTGAACTAAATGGCCCATCCGCATGCGAGAAATCTGATGGACATGCACCCTAGCCCCTTGTGCCTCCCCCATGGTTTGTTTTTAAGGATAACGCAGTGCGTTCGCCGATATCCTAACCGTCGCTTACTGTGAGCTCACCTATCTTGTGTAACCACCCCAGTCCCGCAAAGTGGTACCGAGAGTACAAACATCCCTCATTCCTCCACGAGTCCCCCTCGGGCCTGCAGCACAGGGATTCTGACCGTGCCAGCGGTTGCCAAGGGAAGCCCTGGAGCAACTCATTGGGAACTCCGGCTGCGGAGCCCAGGGCTGCGTCCTGTTTCCCTGCCTGCCTTGCCTCTGACTCCATTGCTGCTCAGCATGGTGCAGGCCTCCCAGTGGGGCTGAGGGGGCGGGGAAGGGTCCTGTGGATACCTGAGACCTGTAGAAGCGAGAGGCTTTTGCAGCCAGTGGGGGAGACAGAGCTGTGACTTAGTGGAGGTGACTGGATTTTGGGAGGCATCCAGCCAAGAAGACAAGAATTTAAACTGGTTAAACAGTGCTGCACTGGTCCACAGCTGCACACTGGGCAAGGTCTCGACCGTACATGGCTGATACAGCACTTCCTGCCCCCCACCTTCCTCCAAAGTCACAGCAGGTGCTGCCCCAGCTTTGTCCTTGGCCCAGGTCACCAGGGTCCCTATTGCACGGAGTGTGTCACCTGCCTGCCATCCTGCGGCTCAGGGCTCACCCTTCAATTGGCTTTTCTTCCTGGCCTGTCTTGTGCTGTCACCTCCACATTCCAACTTCCTCCCCCAAAGAAGCCTTGTCCTAGGCTGTGCTTTCTGGGGACCCCAGAGAGTCACCATGTGAGGGCCATCTGACTCCAACTGTGACTAACCAGTCTCAGTGGGGTGGAGTCCTGTGGTAGTTTTGTCACCTTGACTGGCTCGTTGGACACCCACCTAGAGTGAGCTTTTCCTTGTTCCCTTGTTATTAGCGAACCTAACGGGCTAACTGGGCGGCGATGGGAGATGCAGAAAAGACACAGGACAGACAAAAAGTTGGGGCCAGGTGTGTGGGTGCTCAGGTGGAGATGCACAACCCTCATTGCTTCTTTTCTCTATTATTCTCTCCATTTACTCTGCTACTTTTCTCTCTCTTTATTCTTTAAGGCCTTGCTCTTTTACAGTTCTTTAAAACTTTGCTTTTAAAGTCTTCTATTCTTAAAGTCTCTTTCCTTAGATCGCTCTGGCCCATGTTTTCTCTTAGCTGTTCTTTAGCATAATCTCTCTTAAAGTCTTTGCCCCCAGACTTGCACTGGCCCACATTCTCTTTAGCCTTTCTCTAGCTTAGCTTTTCTAAGGCCTATGTATAAAGTTCTCGGTGCAGACTCGCACTGTCCCGTGTTCTCTCTAGCTTTCTTAAAGCCTCAGCCCTCAGGCTTGCTAGCAATTCCCCTTTAGCAGTTCTCCTTCAGCAATTGTTTTCCCCCTTTTCAGAAATCTCCCTCCAGCACTTTCCCTTCAGCAATTCGTATTCCTTGGCAATCCTTTTCCCTTCCAAACCCACATCAAAAAGCCAAAAGCAAAAAGCCCAAAAGTAAAAGCCTCACGTCCTCCTTCAGGGAGTCTTTTATATCCAGTGGTAAACACGGAGGGGCGTGACGTTGCAACAGGAGAAACCTGTGTTTCTGCTCTGAACACAACTCAGGAGAAGCAGCTGTTCTGCATCTTCCTCTTCTGTGGCCAGGGCTGTACCAATCTCAGCTTATAGATAAACATCTTAGGAAAAGCCGCTGAGCTGGATCTCACTTTGCTTATGTCCAGTTCTCATAGGTGTCTCAATCCACTGTCCGCACCCACGTAGCCAATTAAGCACTATTTCTGAGAGTGTCTTTGAAGATGTCTCTAGAGATTTGCATCTGGATCGGAGGACTGAGCAAAGCAGATGTCCCTTCCCTGTGTGGGTGGGACCGTCCACTTGAGGGCCTGAGTGGACCCCAGATAGAGGACTCCCCTCCTGGAGCTGGGATGTTGAGGGACCATGAAGCATGAGCACTGTGACACTGGTGAATTTGATTTGTGACTTTCATGAGGTCAGTGCCCTTCTTTTCTGTGCGACGCTTGAAGGTTTGGTCAGGGTGATGCTAGAAACACAGTTGAGGTCTCTGTGGCTGTGTGGACCATAAAGACTTAGACGACCTTCAAAGACCTGGAGGCGCCGCGTCTGTGAAGGGAGCTGGAATGTCCAAGCCGCCTCTGTCCTTTCTTGTGTAGGTTTTAGGCCTACATTTTAGTTCCTGTTTTTCTAGAAAGTCATCCATCTAACCTAGACTTCAAATGCAAGGGTAAAACATCTCATCAGCCAGTTATTTGGGGTTTTTTCCTCCCAGATCACTACTCCAGGTAGCCTGCAAGGTGGACGGGTCACCTTAGGGATGGCCTTTACCCGCTCCAAAATTTGTTTCACTCTGGCAGTGAAATGCAGGTGTCACCCTGAGTCATTATTTTCCTCACAAGTTTACGGCACTTACTTTTCTTAATTCTACTGCTTTTTTGCAGGTTTTTGTGGTGTGGGAGTGTTAGGCCTTTGCACATGCTAGGCAAGTGCTTCTCCACTGAGACACAGAACAGCCTCTGTTCTGCATTTTTTTCTTTTTCAGATGTTAAACTTTTCCCATTTATTTCCGTCTCTCACCCCGTCTACTGATCTGGTCACTGTTTTTTCTCATCACCTGCTGTCACAGATCTCTGTAGCGGTGGCACTCTCGGTCCCCTCCCACACATGCAGTGGAAGTGACTCCGCGTGGCTGGAGGCCCTGCATGTTGTGCTCGCCTCTCAAGGAAGTTTGCCTGGGTGGAGAGGCCGAGCTATCCTGCCGGGGGCAGCAGCCCAGCTGGCCCCGTGTCCTGTGGAGTGGCCAGCTGACTGCAGACACTTGTATGAGCCCACACCAGGCCAGCCCAGCCCAAGAGGCGTTCCTCAAGCTCAAAGCCCCGAGTTCAAACCCCAGGACGGGTTGGCTGTTGAGACCTGCAGCTCTTCGTGCACCTGAGCTTGCTGTGTGGCGCCTTTCACCTCACCCTGCAGCTTGGGCACGTCTTGCACCACAGGTCTAGCGGCAATGAACTCCCTCAGGTCTTGTTTACCCGGGAAGGTCTCCGTTTCCCCTCACTTTTGAAGGACATTTTCGCCAAACACAGGATTCTCGGTTGACAGCTGTTTTCTTGCGGCACTTGGAAGATGCTGATCTCCAAAGCCTCCGAGAAGCCTGACCCGATCTGATGGCGTCCCGTCTGAGAGTCCCTCTCCCTTGCTGCGTCAGCGTTGCCTTTCGCCAGTTTGATCTGGGTGTGTCGCGGTTGGGTGGCTTTGAGTTCACCTTGCTGGAGTGACTGAGCGTTTGGAAGTTTATATTCGTGTCTTTCATCAAATCGGGCATGTTTTCAGCCACTGCTTCTCTCTCTCTCTCTCTCTCTCTCTCTCTCTCTTCCCCCACCCCTCCTCCTCCCACGACGCCTACACTGATCCTCTTCTGGTACCCACAGGTGTCTAGGCTCTGTTCTCTTTCCTTCGGTCTTTTTCCCTTTTGTTCCTGGGACTCAGTAATTTCCCTTGTTCTAACTTCAAGTTCGAGGACCCTTTCTTCTCTGCTCAAATCTGTCTTTGACCCTCCGTGAGTTTCGTTATTGTTCTTCTCAGCTCTAGAATTTCTTTTTTGAATTTCCCTCAGGTCTCCTCTTTATTGATATTTCTGCTTGTTCATAGGTGGTTTTCTTGATCTTTTTTTCCATATCTTCCTTTACTTCTTTGAGCATCTTCAAGGCAGTTGGGTTTTTATTTATTTTTTTTTTTTGGCAGTTTTGGGGTAGAACTCGGGGCTTCACCTGGAGTTATGCCCCTTTTGGATTGGTTATTTTTATGCACGCCAGCCTGGATGGTGAGTCTCCTGTTTACACTGCTCAGCTTTTTCCCATTGGGATGGCAGTCCTACAGATTATTCACTGGGGATGTCCTAAATCCCTGGTCTTCCCTGTCTCAGCCTCCTGCATAGCTGGGATTATAGGCACATACCATCATGCCCAGTTATTGGTTGAGATGAGATCTCAAGAAGTTTTTGCCCAGGCTGGCTTTGAACCTCCATCTTCCCCATCTCTGCCTGCTGAGTAGATAAGATTACAGGCGTGAGCCACATGCCCAACCGGGGTGGTTGTAGGTCTGCCATCAGGGTGTTTTCAGGAACAGTTTTCCAGGCTTTAATTTTTTTGCCTTTCAATAATCATACTTTCCCGATTCTTTTGTATGCCCAATAATTTTTGGTCAAAAATTGGGCTTTTTTTTTTTGTATGGTGGTACCAGGGTGAACTCAGGGCCTCATGCTTGCTAGGTGCTTGCTAGGCAGCAGCTGCACTGCTTGAGTCATGCCTCCAGCCCCTCTTGCTTTGTTATTTTCAGGTAGAGTCTTATGATTTTTCCCGGGGCTGGCCTAGGACCTCCATCCTCCTACCTGTGCCTCCCAATAGCTGGGATTGCAGACACACACCACCATGCCTGGCTTATTTATTGAGATGGGGGGCTCTCAGTTACTTTTTGCCTAGGCTAGCCTTGAACTGTGATCCTTTGGATCTCTACTTCCTGAGTAGCTGGAATTACAGGCATGCGTCATCATACCTGGTCCTTATTTTGCCTTTTTGAAGTCAAATGCTGAAGTCAGAGTCCCACCAGGTGCCAGACGGCACTGTCACGTAAGGCACCTGACAAGACTCACAGAGGAGCTACCCTGAGCTGTGTGGACAGGTGATGAATGTGTGTGGATCCTGAGGATCACAGGGGCAAGGAAGGAACAGCCATGGACCAGGTGTGGCCTTCGGTTAAAAGATGCAGCCGACTCACAGCGACCTGGCAGAGAGGGGACCAAGGGACAGTGCTGTCCTGGTGCAGTGCCACCTTTGAAGCTGAGCATAGCAGGTATTAGGAAAACCAGGCTTGGGAGGGTTGTCCGCACCTGGCCTCCATCACGGTGCACCAGGCCACAGTGCCAGCAGGGGGAGGTGGGCAGGCGAGAGGGGGCGTGGAGAACGGACGTCTTACCTATTTGATCAGGGCCTCCCCATGGCGGCTGCCCTCCACTGGGCCTGCACTGGACACAAAGATCGTCACACTCTGCTCACCCAAGAGGTCCAGCACATCCTTCCTCCAAGTCCCTGGTGAGCCACCGCCAGGCTGTTCTGTCCAGGCCCCGGCCGCCAGCCAGCCTGATAGGCATTGCTCGTGATCCTGACGTTAAAATGTCATTTTACTTTTTATTATTTTATTCATGGCAGCACTGGGGTTTTGAACTCAG